AAGGAGGGCACCCCTCCTTCTCCCTTCCAGCGCGCCGCGCCACGCCACGCAAGCGAAACGGCCGGAGGAAAAGCAGAAGCCTGGATCCCTGGAGTCCTTGGCCTTGGCCGAAGTCGCGACCTTGGCTTGACTTGACCTTGGCTGTGATCGGGCTGTGCTTTACAGCCGATCGGGTGCAGTGCGACGAACATCCAAAACTCTAGACGCGTTTTGAGCTCCAGAGTCGCTAATGCGGGACTCGAACCGAACGTGTGACCCCACCAACGGATTGCTCTCCGAACGAGGAATCCATTGGTGGGGTCACACGTTCGGTTCGAGTCCTGTTTAGCGACTCTGGAGCTCGAAACGCGTCTAGAGTTTTGGCCGCTGCGCCGGTCTTCTGGCCCACTGTGTGCCGTGTGCGGCCGTGTCCCCTTAACACCCGTCGTCGCCGAGGTGACGAGGCCGGACGCCGACAAGGGACGCCGCCAAGCAGACTGATTCCGAGGGGCGTTTTCGTCGCTCTGTCTCTCTCGCACTCATGGGGCGACCCGCGCAGGTGCGAGAGAGACATGAGCGACGAAAGCGACTCTCGGGCCGCCCCGTGTCGCGGGAATAGGGAATAAGGACCGAAGGGCCGGTGACTTATGAGAGGATGGATTTAGAACGCATTCCTGCGTCCGTTGCGCCACGGTGGCCCTGCGGTGGCCGGACCGCCGCCGGTGTCCCGCAGTCTGTCCTTGTCGCACTCACGGGGCGTCCCGGAGTGGACGCGAGAGAGACGCACCGTTGCCCGAAATGCATATTCACATTCACTTTGCCGCGGCGTGCGGAGGTGGGCTGTCAGCCCGGCCAATTCTAACTCACACACGCACGCACACAAGCGCACACAGACACACTCACACAACACGACACAAGCGCACACGCACGCACACACACGGCGGAAGTTGCAGGGGCCGGCCAGTCGAACATGTTCGGCGCAATCGGGCTATGGAGGCGGCACCGCCGCCACAAGTTGGGCTTTTTGAAGTTCCCGCCCCCTTCCAGCAGCCTTCCAGCCTTCCAGCCGGTGCTCGCTTATCGACGTGGACATGCAGCGCGCTATCTGCAGCGAGGAGGGGGGGGGGGGGGAAGAAGCTGCCCTGTTATTTCCAACTTTCCACCAACATCCTCTGCAACTTCCTCTCTGCGACCATTGTGGTACCCAACGCTGCCGGGCTGTCTCTGTATCTGCCTCTGTCTGTCTGTCTGTTCCTCTATTTTCACTAGGGTAAATCCACTCTGAAATTTTCAGAGTTTCTGAGACTCTGACTTTTTTCCAGAGTTATAAGAGACTCTGAACCAGAGACTCACGAAATTCGCGCCCCCCAAATTAAAAGGCCAGAGTGTAATCTAGAGTTCAGAGTCAGAGTGTTTTCCAGAGTTTCTGATGTCAGAGTGTTATCCAGAGTCCTTGTCAGGGTGCCAGCATTAAGTTCAGAGTCTTAAAATGATAGAATATCTTGAACAGTGCTTGGTTTTAGAACTGCCTTGGAAGTGTCCCTAGGGGCTAAAATCGAGTCCGAGCCGAATCTGCAATCCATTTTTTGCTACCATCAAATGTACCTCAGCATACCGGGGCCCAAAACTATCCGATCAGTTTAAATTAAAAATGTCCTAGTAAAATAGTCCATAGATGACACCTACCAATTTTCAATCAAAAATAACAAAAAATTCCCGAGTTATGGCTTCGTCAATTTGGAAATATCAACTCTGAAACTCAGACGAGGGCTCAAACTCAAAACTGTAAACCGGACCTGGAACTCTGGATTGAACACTTAACTCTAAAATAAAGGACTCCAAATCGCAACTCTGCGCTGCTCTAAAACTCGAGCGTAACTCGCAACCTGACGCTAAACTCTGAAACCTGACCGAACTCTGCAACTCTGATTTGAACTCTGAAACTCTGACCTGAATCTGAAACCTGAGCAAAACTCTGCAACTCTGACAAAACTCTAAAAATCCGAGTGGATTTCCCTATCTGTCAGCTCTGTCTGCTTCTCCGCCTGTTTCTATCCGTCATTGTTGGCTATCCACCTACGCGCGCCTGCCTTGCCTCACTCTTTGCCCCCTCGGCGATTCTGCTGCTTCTTCTGGGGCGCTCGGCCGGTATGCAGACGAGCCGGGCGGCGTTGCCACGGTCTTGGCCACGGTCTTGGCCTCGGCGTGGCCGGACAGCGGCACGGCGGCAGGCGGCACGGCGGCACGGCGGCACCCGGAGAGATTGGCCGAGTGTATCGCACGGGGAATCTGTGCCGGGGGCGTGTTTTTGAAAGTGTTTCTAGGTTCTGGAAGGCCTTCGCACCGCCTCGTCCGCGCTCGGTCCGTGCCGCCCGCGCCCACGGCGTGGTTACCTTCGTCGGTCTCTTTTGTTGCTTTTGTTGGCGTTTTGTTGTTCTTGATGGGCTTTTGTTGTTGCTGCTGCTGCCGCTGTACTGTTGCAAAGGCGACGACCCCAGAGCGAGTTCTGGCGCGCACGTGTGGGAAGCGCGCCTGCGCTATTTCGAATCCTTCGGGGTTCGTAATAAAGATAAGCATATAAAAGACGAATAAAAAACAGGACAGGAAAAGTCGTTGTCCGCCGGGGCTGCTCCTGTGATATGATTCGGGCCCATCCGGCGGCCGACGTCGTGGGACCGGAAATAGGAACGGACAAGCCTCGGAGGGACGACGGCGCAGAGTGGGCCAGAAGTCCGGCGGAGGCGGTCAAAACTCTTGCCGCGTGAGCTGCCGAGTCGCCAAATGGGACTCGAACCGAACGTGTGACCCCACCAATGGAATGCTCTCTGAACGAGAAATCCATTGGTGGGGGTCACACGTTCGGTTCGAGTCCTGTTTAGGACTCTGGAGCTCAAAACGCGCCTAGAGCTTTGGCCGCCTCCACCGTTCTTCTGGCTGATACTGTGCGGCGTAGTCGCAACTGGTCACGAGATGGTCGCAAGCCGGGAAGCAGGACGGTTGCGTTAATAGACACGCCCCGACGAAAACTGACAACTGAAACATTTGCAGCAAGGCGGGGCGGGGCGTGAGAACCGCAGTGATTAATATTCACAAGACGCAGGGCGGGGCGGGGCTCGGCGGGCGTGGGTGGATTGGCTCGGAATGTCTCTCACGTTGAGCGGACGGTGCAAGGCATCGTACCTGCGCCATGGAGTTACGCGTGGCCGTGTCGGCGCCTCGGACCTTCTTCTTTGCAAGCTATGCAGACAGACGGACGGACAGACAGACAGACAGACAGACGACGACAGACAGACAGACAGACAGACAGACAGACAGACAGACAGACAGACAGACAGACACGGCGCTGCAACGCGTCCATACGTTTTCTCGGTACTGCCCTGGTGTGCGTCTTGCCCGCGCCTTCCCCGCCCCACCGTAAACACCAGAGCATCTGTCAGGGAAGGCCCGCCCGCCTCGCGAGGTGTGATGGGGGTCGAGGTTTGTTTTGTTGAGGCCCAGGGGCTGCTGACTCTGCTGGAAATCATCAGCCAGCGCGACAAAACGCTCGACTAGAGTTCCTCGTGCTCCTCTGGTCTTGTAATCACACACTGCTGTCACAAGACCGTCCTCTAACTGCGTCTAATTTTTCTCGTGACCGACCAGACCGGACCAGACGGCTGGGCGCGCTTTGTTTAAGTCCGTTTCCACATAGCGAACGCTCATCAGTCCGCGTGCTTTGCACCAACACACTCTCGCGCCACGTGCTCACACACACACGTGAGCCGTACAGTAGTGTGTGAGTGTGTGTACAGTGAGTCCCTTTGGAGGCGCCGCTACGAAAGCCGCGTGGGTTCCAATCGGTATCACGAGTCTGTTTGTTTCCAATGTCCGTCTTTCCAACTCGGCGCGCCGCGACGCGCCAGTCCGTCCAAAAGGCAGCAGCTCTTGCGTAGTTTCGTGTGAAAAAAAATGACTCATCCCTCGTTTTAGCGAGATTTTTTTTGTTTGTTGAGAAAATGTTTGGTAAGGAAGCAAAGCAGTGTGGACAGGGCAAATCAATGTTGTGTGCCGAACGCTGCTCTCCTCTGCCCGCAGGAAAATCGAGGAAAATGAAGCAACTTTGGTAAACATTTTAAAGCCGCTCTTCTTTTTCGCAGTGTATTCCCCTCTAACCGACATAATGCGGAAGGGGAGTAAAGTATAAAAATATGGGAGGATTTTTTTTTGTAAGCTGCGGATCGCGGGGGTGGCGTCCAAATTTAGCCCGTTGATGGCGTTGCCCGGTACAGTACGCTGCTCCATACAGCACCCCAGAAATCATACTCTGGAAACAAAAAAAAAAAAAGGAACAAGAATCCTTTACCCGACCAAGCAAATAAATATGGCATCGCAGATATTTTTTTTCGCGCCGCTATTCTACCACCAATCTGCATCCTTGCCAAGTTTTTTCTTTCGCCCGCCGCTTTATATTTGCATACTGTATTGGCTGGCGGTTTGTCGGTCGAGTCTGCACTGCACTTTGTGCCCCCGTCTCTCTTTCTCTCTCTTTCTCCCTCTTTCGCTCTCTTTCTTTCTCTCTAACAAACGACCGCTAATGAGTCGGAATTAAGGCGGGCGATACACTGATTCGCGGCTCGCGCCTCCTGCACACCTCCGCGCGCCTATTTCGCCACGCGCGAGCCTGCTCCAGCGGCCTGGAAAAAGCTAGGGGGCTGGAAAGCTGGAGGGGAGACCGAGGAAAATAAAAACAGATACTCGTACTGGAGCCTCCAGCAGCCCAGGGCCTGAGGCGTATAGCTTCATGAGGTCCCGAGGTCCATCAGCCTTGAAAATAAAGACAGCTATTTTAAAAATTGATCGCAAAAAATTCTTCGGAAAAAAATTGCATTCCAAACCACGTGTTTTTGTTGCGTTTTTGTCTGCCAGTCTAACGATACCGTCATTTGTGCTTCCAGAAAAAGCCGCAGCCGCCGCTGCCGGTGTCGCAGCAGCAGCAGTCGGGCGTCCACTGCGTCCACGGCGCGCAGGCCGCGCACTCCGTGCACTCCGCGCACCAGATGGAGTGCGGCGTGGCGGGCGTGGCGGGCGTGGCGGGGTCCCTGGCGGCGTCCGGGGCGCCGTCCCCGCTGCTGGGGGCTTCCCTGGCGGACCGATCGCGGCCCGAGCGGTCGCCCGCCAAGCACGGCCTGCACGTCAACTTCACCGAGAAGGTGGAGGTCAAGGAGCGCAGGGAGAAGTTCCTCACCGCCAAGTACGGCTCCCACCAGATGGCCCTCATCCGGAAGCGGCTGGCCGTCGAGATGTGGCTGTACGACGAGCTGCAGAAGCTCTACGAGTCCACGGTGAGTCCCTCCACGCCAAAGCGGCGTGGCCGCGGCCGAAGGCGCGTTGATATTGCGCGCCCGGGGTTGCGGGTTCGAGTACCCGCCGGCGGTCAAAATTCTTGACGCGTTTAGAGCTCCAGAGTCGCTAAACAGGGCTCGAACCGAACGTGTGACCCCACCAATGGATTCCTCGTTCGGAGAGCATTCCATTGGTGGTGGTGGGGTCACACGTTCACTTCGAGTCCCATTCAGCGACTCTGGAGCTCAAAAAGCGTCTAGAGTTTTGGCCGCCTCCACCCGTCTTCTGGCCCACTGTGCGACGCCAGCTGAAAGCGACACGTCATAAAACCTCATCGCAGCAAATGTTTCACAGCCCGACTGACCGCTCTGAGTGATGTCGAACACCGCGTCACAAAGACGTCGAGGGACCTGCACTGTAATTTCCAGCCATATATATTTGGACTCGACACGCGCCAGGCCGGCCGACCAGCAAGCGGGAGGCGGAGGCCGCCTTCTCTAGACTCGGCTTGTTGCGTCCGACGCCTTTATGAAGGCATCATCCGCCCATGCCTCTCGGCCTTTCGGCGGAGCTGCTGGGCGCGGTGCCGCGATTTCCGAAAAGACAATAACGGACGGCTTGCGCGCTCGCGCCTCGAGGCCCCAACAACAACAAAGACGACAACAACAAAGACGACAACAACAACAACAAACAACAACAAAGCCAAACACCATAAAGCAAGGACGTTGTGACGTGGGCGGCGCTGCCAAAGGTCAGGGCGTGGCGTGCCGGCCGTTGCTCCGGGGAGTTCCCCAGGGAGCAGCGAAGCCAGCGAAGCCAGCGAAGCCAGCGAAGCTACCCCCAGCAGCAGGCCACCCCGGTACGCGGCGCCCGGTACCTCGCCCGGTACCCAGCAGACTGATTCCGAGAGTCGCTTTCGTCGTCGCTCTGCCTCTCTCGCACTCATGGGGCGTTACGTCCCGTACCGGTGCAAGCGAGACAGAACGACGAAAACGACTCTCGGAACCGAGCCACTGGTGCGCGGTGCCCGAAGCGTGGTACTCGACCCGAGACTCCACAGTGGACCAGAAGACCGGTGGAGGCGGCCAAAACTCGGGACGCGTTTTGAGCTCCAGGGTCGCTAAATGGTGCTCGAATCCAACGTGTGACCCCACCAATGGATTGCTCTCCGAACGAGGAATCCATTGGTGGGGTCACACGTTCGGTTCGAGTCCTGTTTAGCGACTCTGGAGCTCAAAAGGCGTCCAGAATCGGTCGCCTCCAGCGGCCTTCTGGCCCACTGTGCGCTCGGTGCCCGACGTCCAACTGGCTGCTAAGTCCTTGGCGGGGCGCGCTCTTCGCGGGGCAGTTAATTTGGCGTCGGGGCTCGCCAACTTGCAGCGCTAATGCACAGAGTTGCTGCAGGGAGTTGTTGCTCCAAACTTTCTTACACTCGATTCTTGCCTTTTTGCACGCCGGTAAACGTGCTTCTGCAACTCGACGCGTTTTCCTGTTGAGGCCAGGGCGGACCAGAGTCCCACTCCCAGGTACAAACTCGGTGACGGTGTTTTCGAACGGAGCTCTAATTTCCGTCTCCAATCGTGCTGCTAAAGAGCGATCAATCGGAATTGAGTTACATTTGCGGTCACGTGAAAGCTCGGATGAGGTCGCACGCCACCAAGTCGACGCAGTCAGTCACAATGCCCAGGGCATGCCCGGCACGGCATCTGCCATTCAGCGACCCCTTTTCGGCCTTCATGGGCCCAGCAGCGACTGAGAGTCGTTTTCGTCGCTCTCGCACTCAGGGGGCGTCCCGTGTAGGAGCGAGGGAGACACATCGACGAAAACGACTCTCGGAATCAGTCTGCTGGCCAGCCAGGCCCGGCCCGGCCGGTGACAGCCGCCCCGCGGGTCAAATGCGGCCGAGGGGGAGGGGAGGGGGTAGCGTGGGTGGCGTTCGACTCGTCCGACACGGAAGAGAAGAACTCGGCCGAACTCGGCCGAACTCGGCCACCTGCAGGCCGCAGCGCCTCGTGTCTCTCTCGCACCCCTGCGGGCCGCGCCTGCCGCGCCCTGAGTGCGAGAGAGACGGTGCGACCGGATAATTCATTTACGGGGCGCCGCGTCAACCCTTTCCTCCCCGCCGCCGCCCGCCGCCCCGCGGCTCGCATCGAGGGGCTTTGGTTTATCTCTCTCGCCCTCGTCTTTCCCCAGTCCTTATCGGGGCGATCCATTTTTCATAGCGACTCTGCTGTGAGCCTCGCGCCGCCCGCTTCATTTCTCATAGCAACAAATCGGCCCAATTGTGCGCCTCGTCCAATCGCTCTACGTCTCTCTCTCTCTCTCTCTCTCTCTCTCTCTCTCTCTCTCTCTCTCTCTCTCTCTCTCTCTCTCTCTCTCTCTCTCTCTCTCTCGCTGCAATATTCATTCCGGCTTCGTGCGGACGGACTACATGGGGGCGGGGGGCGCGTCTTAAATGACAAGCCCCCATGCCGACGGCAGGCGGACGGCAGCGCGGCCGCTGCGTGTTCCCGCACGGGACCTGCTCGGCCCAAGCCGAGGCCCAGGCCTTGCCTGTCAGGGTTTATATGGGGATCGTGCGTAGGGAGCCGAAAAAGGGAACCGCGGTCGATCGCCATCGCGAAGGTTCTGCTGCGTTCGCGTTATTTAGCCGCACGTTGCGGAAATTTTTCATATCCAGTGAGATTGACGCCACGGCGTTGGTATACTGTATAGAGCCCAATAGGCCCGCAAGGGGCATGCTTTGGGTATTGGCTGGGGGCCTGCAGATATCCCATCCTGAAGAGTTCGCCACTTTCAAGGTCACGGTGACAACCATGGTCACCTTCCCGTGGTGACGGCTAGATCACCTCCGTCGACGGTGACAGCCAGCTCACCACCGTTGCCATGGTGAAAGCTAGTTCACCATCGTCCACATTGTGACAGCCAGTTCACCACCGTCGCCTGATACATGACACTCGGCACGCGTGTCGGCAGTCGCGGCTCCCGGATCGCGTTTCGGCGTTCCGGTTCCTGCGGGAAAGGTTCCTGCGGGAAGCGCGTCCCTTCAAAGCAAGGTCGCGGATCGATGGCACGGCGTGGCACGGCGTGGTGCCCCCCCCCCCCTCCACTTTCCCCTCCCCCACAACAAAGACGCCGAGCGCGCCGTGCGTCGGGTCAAAGACACCTCAGGTGAATCATGAACTACTTAGGCCTCAAGGCGCATATTCTCGCATCCTGGCGGTGGGCAGCAGACCAGCGCCGCTCCATGCCAGGGCACCGCCAGGGCACTGCCAGGGCAGCACCCTGGCGAGGGAGGGCCTCCGGAAGCAGCTCACCAAGTGAGTCATGCACGCCGCGCGACGCCGCGCCTTTCTGCACCTGCCTAATGACACATTCTTTACTCGGAAACGCGAAAAGGGTTCTTTGCGTTTTGCGGCCGTCTCGGGGCGCTCCGCCATTCACATGATTTAATTCGTCCGAATGGCCCGGCAGCTTCCACGGCCCGGCCAGGGGCCGCCTTCATGAATGCCTCATCGGGCGGACCAATCAGGACCCGCCAGAATATTCCCCGGTCAAGGCTCTTGATCCTCGCGCTGCGAATACACACCGCCCAGAGTCCTCTCGAACCGCCTTTGTGTCCGCTTGCGTCCTCTGGCGAGCATCGCTCGTGGACCAGCCTAGACTCGCAACTCCGTCTCGCCTCGCCTTTGTCACGACACTGGAGAGACCCACGGCCCTCTAGAACCGAACGCGCTCGGCTGGGCCGGCTGGGCCCGTTCTTTATCTACGAGGTAGACGCGGCGGTGAATTTTAAATGCACTTCCGGGCCGCCGTGCGCGCCGTGCGCGCTGTGCGCTCGCTGAGGAGTTTATTTCACGTCGGGGACCGTCACGAAGGGGCAGCGCTCGTTGTTTATGAACGGACCCGCGGCAGAAGCGCTGTCCGCTGTTGTTGTTGTTTTGGTGCTTGAACAGGGTCGTCATTTTGTTGTCGTTGTTGTTGTTGGGGTGAGGGACCCGCGGGCTATCTAGGTAAAGGCATCGCTTCTCGCATCCCATTTAGCTATCTGCGAAAGCCATCTGCATTGTGGAACGATATGCAAGGAGGCGCCCTTTCGTCCTTTCGCCCTTTTGTTCTCGTCGTCGGAGTTTGTTCTCGTTTCGTCCGTCGATGATGGATGCGACATGCGCGCGCTCTCGCTGGATACGCTGTGCCCAAGCGTGGATTGGGGGGGGGGGGGCACAAAAGGACAATTCCCCCCTTTTTTGACCCCTAGATAGCAGCCTGAAAAGTAGGCAAAAGCAACACTTTGCCCCTGTAAGTAGGCAAAAAGTGCTACTTTGCCTGAGGCCGACTCTGGATCCGCCACTGGCTGTGCCACGCTGTGCCACGCTGTGCCACGCTGTGCCATTGTTGAGTCGATTGTGTTGACCCCTCTGGATCCTCTCGAACCGGCCGTGGTGGCGCCATCGGGCGGCCGTCGCGCCAATTACGGAGGCCGGATCGGTCCGTCGCTCTGTCTCTCTCGCACTCTTACGGAGGGCCCCAAGAGTGCGAGAGAGACCGAGCGACGGAACGAGTCCTCTGAATCTTCCTCGAACGGGACGAGAGCGAGACAGCCGCCGGTCGTGTGACTCAATACTCAATCAATAACAACAACATTATCCATCGGCAGCAACAATAATAGAGTGCGCGTCGAGCGGACAAAAGGGCGGAGTGACGGAGTGACGGCGCGAGTGACAAGGCGACACGCAGCGCGCCGTTTGACGACCTGACCGCAAGTCAAATGACTCATCCTCCCTCCGTCCGCCTGTTCTCGCATTGCGTAACGCGTTCGAACGCGCGGCGGGGCTCACTCCGTTCAGCGCGTCGCGCTATATGGGGCCGCGACACTGCGAAAAAGAGCGAGAGCGAGAGAGAGAGAGGAGAGAGAGAGAGAGAGAGAGAGAGAGAGCGAGAGCAAGAGAGAGAGAGAGAGAGAGAGAGAGAGAGAGAGAGAGGAGAGAGAGAGAGAGAGAGAGAGAGAGAGAGAGACGGAGATGAAAGGAGAGGTGTTGCCAGAAAAGGGTTCAGCACGAATCATTGAGAGAATCAGCAGTACGTTCGCTTACACTGCTCTTGCAGGGAATGAAGGTCCCTCTTTTTGTTGGTGCGCGGGCCCTTGCCGGGCCACAACGGTCACACCAGGCAAATTGATGGCAAGCTTTGGGGCGTGGGCCGCAGAGAGGGCGCAGTAGCCCGCTGGATAAACGAGTCCCGCCCCGAGAAATTAGAGCGAGCGGAAAAAAAGGGGAAAAGAGAAGAAAGACGAGATGCGGGGGTGGGGCGCGAACCCGAGCGAAACGCGTCCAGGCCGTCCAGGCGCCCTGCCGGCCCTGCCGGCCCTGCCGGCCCTGCCCGGCGGCGGCCAAGGCTTGCCAGGCTTGCCAACCATTGTTGCAGCCGCATTAATTTCCCTCTTTCATTATTTTCATCCGAAACAAAGTGTAGACGGCACGTTTCGGCCTTCCAGGCTAAAGTTACTCGGGACCAACTGGATATGCGTGTCTGTGTGTGTGCGGCAATAATAGAGCTCTGCCGCGTTGGAGTCCCGGAGCCCGGAACGGTTTACGACAGTTGCGAGACCGGGACTGTATCACGCGATCATATTCCCTCCCTCGCACAGTGGGCCAGACGAGCGGCGGACGCGGCAACAATTCGTCGACGCGTTTTGAGCTGCAGAGTCGCTAAATGGGGCTCGAACCGAACGTGTGACCCCACCAATGGATTGCTCTCCGAACGAGGAATCCATTGGTGGGGTCAAACGTTCGGGTCGAGGCCCATTTAGCGACTCTGGAGCTCAAAACGCGTCTGGAATTTTAGCCGCCTCCACCGGTCTTCTGGCCCACTGTGCCTCGTGGCCGGCGCTGTGGCTCGCTGTGGCTCGTGGCGTGCTGTGTACAATACTGTAGTGTAGTTGTACCGCCAAGGTCAACACTCAAACTACTTTGTCCCAAAAGGATTTGCCCACCACTTGGCGTTGCACCCCCCATTCTGTGGCTCAGTGGGTCAAACCCGACGGCACGCACCCCGGCCGGGAAAAAAGATGGCGGCGGAAGGGGGACGGGTCGTAAAATCCGCTCTAGCTGACGCGAGCGTACTCTGCGAGGAGACGTCGGAACTTTGAGATAAACGGGGAGGGTGTGTCCGAAGCTGGGGTTTGCAGGAGGGGGGGTCATCGCGGTCCCCGACGCCCTTGTGGTTCACCAACTCACGACGCTGGTCTTTCTTCAATGTTCCAGGAGAACAACAAGAACGACGAGGTGGATGTCGACATCGACGAGCTGCTGGACATGGATGACGACAACCAGAGAAGGATACACTTGCAGGTGAGTAATCTGGGCAGGTGTCTGGCTGCTGCCGGGGAGGCAGAGTGTGATCACTTCACAAGCAGAAACTCCAAATTTGGGTGTCTATATCTCGTAAACCGAGAGCGTTGGGTTCTTCATGCATAAAGAAATAACAAATTTAGGATATTCAAAAAGATGTATGCGTTACTTTAATTTCAATCTTCCTTTAAGAGACATAGACACCTGCAGGTGGCTCATTTTCCCTTTGCATTCAGGGCATCGTTAGCATCTCCCTGCTGCCTGTCTGTCTGTCTGTCTGTCTGTCTGTCTGTCTGTCTGTCTGTATGCCTGCCTGTCTGCCTGTCTGCCTGACTGTCTTTCTGTCTGTCTGCCCGTCCGTCTGTTCATCCGCTGGCCGGGATTAATTCCATAAATGCGGCGACGTGTCCTGGCGTGTCCTGGCGTGTCCTTGCATCGCCTCCATCGCCTCGGTATCGATTCACTTTGCTCTCTGCAGATGAATAATGGAACCGCGCTTCACGTGGCCTGGCCGCCTGGCCGTGTCCGAGGCGGCGCTGTGGCGGTCGACGGGGACGTGACGTGGTCGACGTGGTCCTCTGTGTCTTGGCCAGGCCTCGGCCGCGGCCTCGTCGCCCTGTAATGGGTGACTAATACGGGCTACCAATCCCACTGATGGTTGGCGGCCGCTTTTTATGATGAGGGAGGGAAGTTGCTTTTGGCGGCGTGCGATGCAATGAGACGGCAAAGTGTTTTTGCCCCCGCCCGCCTGCCCCTCGGCCTGCCCAGCCACTTGGCAGCGCGCCTTTCGCATCGACCAGAGCACCCGCGCTCACCCTCTCGGTTTGTGCGGGATGCTGGATACCGTTTGTTACGCACCCGGCGCGCTGGCTACACTGTGCCTACACTGTCGCTGCGCTTTACGCTGCACGGGCAGAGCCAGTAGAGCTAGCAGAGCCGGCGGAGCGCCTGGCGGGTAGGCAGCACCGGTGACGGCCGCGTCGGCGGACTGCCTAGCCTCTGTTGCGACGGCGTTCGCGACCATGTCCACGATGCATGAGTGTGTTTTGAGTTTCGAGTGTGGAGGGGGCAAAGTCGAGGCATCGTATTCCTGTTACTCTTTTTCAAAAAAATACAAAACAAAAATGCGTTTTTTTATGTTGTGCATTTCAAAGCGACTCCCCCCTCCCCTGCACACACTCTTTCATCTCTTTTTCTGGTGTGCCACACAAGACGTTAGCCCCTAGTGACTGGAGGGGCGTGGCCGTGGGGGCCGGCGTGGCTGCGAGGGGTTGGTAGGGGTGCCTCCTAGCTAGGGGTGCCAGCCGGCCCGGCCCGGCGGGGCTGGGACTCTAGGGGTGCCAAGGGGTTGGTAGGCTTGGCGGCGCGTGCCTAGTGGTGTAGTCCACGCCGAGCACTGGACCTGGGGGACACCAGAAAAGGGGGGGGGGGGGGTCTCTACCAGTCTCAACTCTCACGTAGTGGGGAGAAAATAAAACAAAAAGGCCAGCGTGCTGGGCACCAGTGGCAGAGCCGGGCAGAGCAGGGGTAAGGCGAGAATGAAAGGGATAAAAATGAGGCCGGATGAAAAGTGGGAAAGTGCACGGGGAGCCAGGGAGCAGGCAGGTCGTCGGCAGACGGTGAAACGGTCGCTGGAAGCGGGAAGGGGTGTGCGACGAGGAGACGGGGGCAGTTGACTGGGGCTGAGAGAGGGGAAGGGCAGGGGCCTGAATAATGTAGACAGCCATCTCCGCGTCATCCTCTTCCTCTCGCGAGTTGCGCGTGCATAGCCCGGCAGCCTGGCATAGCCGCAGCCACGACCTACCCCCGCCTCAGCCAAATGGTCTGCTTGAAATCTCGAAATCTTGCTCTAGGCTCCCCCCATGCATCTGGCCCCCCACCCCAACCCCTCCTTCTTTAAAACTCCCGCGCCGGCAGATCGACCCTCCCTGTCCCTCTCCGCGTAATCCTGTTCTTGTTCGTCGCTCTCTCCCTCTGTCTGTCCCTCCCTCTCTCTTCCTCTCCTCTTCCATCCCTCCTTCTGCAGAGGCAGGCAACCTGCATCACCCCCTACCTCCGCTTTCCCTCCCCCAACCCAAAATCTCCCTCAGCTTTGTGCTGCTTGGACGTCAAATAATGCCTTCCCTTTGTGTTTGTTGCAGAGGATTCTCGCAGATGCGAAGAAGTCTTCTCATGATGTCAAAGTAAGTATGTGTGTGAAAGTGTCACAAAAAGCAGTGGTCCTTTTCTGTCATACTAATAGTGTGTTTGTTCTCTTTGCAGAAATTTGTCGAAGATCTCCTGGAACGAACAAAGACTCTGTGAGGACTGCCATTGTCGAAGTGGTGCCACCACTCTCCCTTTTGTTACAGAGCTGTGCTTGCCACGCTTGGCAAGATTTATACCATGTACTGCAATTGATGAAATTTGAGCTGTGAAAAGCTTTTATATCAATGTATTCACAGTGCTCCACTGTGATAAATTGTATTTACGTGTAATAATTCATACATGTTAGTTTTAGAATGGTTCCCAGAATGTAAGTGGCAATGGTTTAGAAACAAACCTTATTGAGAATTGTGTTTTTTCACGTAATGAAAAGACATCTCCCCTTGTATGTCAAATTGACATTCTTCAAGATCTGAAAACATGGATGTTCAACTTTGCTTCTCAGTCGGAGAAGTAAAATTCTCCAAGGTGGAATAATTACAAATATTATAAATTTACTTTTGGTTTATTGAGTTAGTTTTATGTTCAACTTAGTATTACTTTTTGTTCTTTAAAATTTTTTTGTTGCATGCCTTGTCACTAAAGGACACATACTACGTGAAATATGCTGTATGTTCTTTTGTAGCTAACATGTCAGTTAGGAGTAACCAAAGATTTTTTTGGAGGTGTTTTTCCATAGAACACCAACGGTCCTATTGCACCTGTCTTGTTTTGTTTCCTTGCCTTAAGGAATCCTCAGCAGCTTTGTGAAAATTTGAAACTCAGCATTCCCTATCCATGTGGTGCGATCTTTGCATGGCTGGCCATGGCTTTGACGTGGTTTCAGGAGAATTTTACCCTCTCATTTGTGCTAAATGAAGACCAAATTTCAGACAATCGCTTATGTCTGGTTATTGAGACTTATACTCCCCCTGAAAGCAATGAGGATATGGTTATAGCTGTTTCAACTATAGAGATTTTTTTCCTGTGAACTTTGGGTTTAATATTAATCATTTTTAACAGTATAATATTGGAAAACTAGTGCGTAAGTGCTCTGCACATGAACTATCAATAACTCATGATTTCATGTGAAATAGACCATTGTAGAAATGTGATATTGGAGCGAATTGAGGCTGCTTTGTTAATTACACAGATTAACCATATACACAAGAACTTAAAATAATATTTGTTATGTTTTTGTAACATTTGCATAGATAATGCAAGGAATACCCTGCCATTCTGATCAGAAATTTCCCCGTAATGGAAAATTTTCTGGGAAAAAAAATCAAGAATGCTCACCGATAAATAAAAATCTTTGTGTTTCCTATAGTACAAGACTCTTCTTCATCTCACCTACTGAGGTTGCTGCAAATATCGGTCTATGCATAGATTGCCAAGTAGATCATTAACAGCTACAAATGAAGTACTTCCTTGTCCTATTATTTACAATGGTCCATATCCAACATACCCGAATTTAATTTCTGTAAGATAACAAACCAGGTAGTTTTATTCTGATTTTATCTTGACCTCTTTGGTCAAGACAATTGGTTAAGGTTGAGATTTAAAAATGATTTTTCATGATTTTATGGTCAACCTCCATTATTAATATTGTGAGCATCTGGTAGAAAACTGATGCAACCTTAAAGATGAAAGAAAAGGGTTAAGTTACAGTAGTAATGTAATTGGCTGCCGTTCATCTAGATAGCATGAGTTTGTTGTCAAGGAAATTCATAATGTATGTATGATCTCATTGCCTGAACTGAATTTAATGTGTCAACTTCAAAATAACCCAAATTTAACCCTGTTTATTCTATGCCACTCTTGGAAAAATGAAATAACATAGAAGCTTTTTCAAAAAGAAAATTTGTTTATTTCCTAAAGACCTCAATTGTATCTCCAAATTGTGAAATTCAAAGTTTCATTCACGTAACTTATAGAAGTAAAATTCTTATGCCAACTCCAAGGCAGAGAGCAGGAACTAATAAAATTGTTGCATGGATGCCAGACTTCATGGTTCAGGATTGGGTCTTATATACAAACAAGAGTGACCAGAACCCAAAGCATCGCAATGCCCCTTTTCTACTGTTCTTTTTCATGTTTCAGACTAGTACATCATAAGCATCAAAATAAAAATTTGTTAAGAATTTTATCAATGCAGAAGTGTACTAATTTAGTCCAGCAAAATTACACAATAGTACATAACAGGTCATAAATTATATCACAGCTCAAGTTTCAAACACAATTAAGGAATACAAAAATGGGATACAGTTGAGAAAAATAATGGGATGGAAAAGAACAAATGAATTAGTGTTCCGGGCAGACAAAACATATGGTCCAGAGCTCAAAATGAGTCTAGGCGCACAAATTCAGAGTAGCTGTTTCAGCTATACCGTAGTTTAATTACAGTACAGTATTTGTATTTTTTATGACAAAATAATTTTATTAACTGTACCCTAATGATGATAGAAACACCTATTTATATCATTGTGAGACGCTTTTTTTAAGTAGTACGGTAAAGTAGTTATAAAATATTATTTGTACCATGAAAAAAAAGGTTGTATGAGTGTCATTCTTTCAAAGAAGCCATGCAAGCAATTCTCTCATCTCTCAAGCAGTTTCTACAGCTTTTCCCACTTTTGTAAAGCAACATAAAGACACTTCATAATCATTACTGAGGTAACTTAAACCTATACAAATAACATTAAAGTTTTAAAAAGGTTGAAAATAAAACTCACTGTTGACGGACAGCTGTTTCAAACATAAGCCTTGATTGAGCCAATAGCAAAAAAGCGATAGCATCAGTCTGATAAACTTTGCACATATTTGGAAAAGTCACAAAATATGCATACAATAAAAAAATATTTTAAAAATTTGTTTGCACAGAAAAGCAAAAGAAAAACAAGTCAGCATCAGTTTCAGAAATACTTTTAAGTATTAAAATTCATATTAATGTTTGGTTCTATTTCATTTATTTAAAAAAAAAAAAAGGAAATTATCAAGAAACTGATAAACAAACTGAGAAAAAAAGTTGATTTTCAACGAGGCAACAAAGATTGCTAAGCGGCTATCTGAAGGCACAACAAAAACAGAAGACTAAAAAACAAGTAGTCTTAGGACCAACAATGAACAGGCACATGAAATGACAGGGGAAAGCACCTAATTCACCTACACAAAATACAAAAGGGCATCCATACCACCATCTTCATACTCAACAACAACTTCAAATTCATCGTCCTCTGAATCGTCATTATCGCTATCATCATCCACACCATGAAACAGCATCTGGAAGCATCCTGATGTTGGAGAATTGAAATGATTATATGGGTTGGAAGGGTTTAGCCTTGTTTGGCAGATCCAGCAGAAGAAAGTGTTGCACTTCCAGCAAATCATTTTGTTGCATCCATCAGATTTCTGTGGAGAAATAAGAGTTTGTAAACAACATTTTCGCAAACAAGACTATCACCACAGAATAATACACTGAGAGCAGTGCATTGTTGAGGTGCCGCAAATTAATTGTTTCAGTAAGAATCACAGTACCTCTATAGCAGCTGAGCAGTGGGGGCAGGCCTTGGAATTTCCTCGAATCCATTGCTCGGAGTAACTAGTTTCAATCATCTCTCTAATTGTTTTGCTTCCATATTTCTTTTCCAAAAAGCGTTTCCTTTCAGTTGATGCAGCCTCATACTCTGCAATCAATCCTGAACCTGCAGCAGTAAAATCAAGCAATGACACATGAATAATTGCCCTATACTTATACCTTACAATATTAGTTAAATCATAAACAAACTAGACATACTGTTTTTGAAGCGGCAGCGTTCTACTCCATGGTACGTCATGCGGCAGAGAGTACAAAAGGTGTAGGAGCAGTGAGCACAACGGGCCATTTGCTCTTCTCGCTCATATGTTACAGGGTACTGACAAGTTTTCCGAGGACAGTAAACTATATCTTCCATCTCATCAAGAGCTGAATTAAGGAGCAGTTCATCATATCTTGCAAAGAGCTCAGGACTGACTAATTCACTGATCTGTGAACCCAACACAAAAAAATGGGAGCAACATGATTAATTTGAATTTTTAAAAGCAAAATGAAGAATGAGATATACTGACCTGACTTTGAAGTGCTTCTGATTTGCAACCTTTTTCAGGACAAATTAATCCATGCACATTACCATCCTTGATGGTAACTTCAAAGAATGTACTAACACATTCTCGACAAAATATATGTCCACACCCCATGAACTCCATACACTGGCTTCCAGGTTTATCCTGTAACAAGAAATTAACACTCACAAACTGCTCTATGGGCGAGTTTAAGTTATAACAAACATGCAGTATCATCAAAGAGGGTACTGTACTTACATCAAAACAAATCTGACAAGTATATATGTTCCTTTGAAATTCTTTTTCAGATTGAGTTCTGTTGTACTCTAGAATATGACTAATAAGGGAAGTCTGAAGTGTTTCGCAAGACACAGCACGGAGATCAAATTTCTGTTTGTAATCTGCAGTTGGTGAACGTTTAAAGCCAAAAGGCTTTTTCCTACGCTCACTCACGGGGCAAGGTTCTTTCACTTTCACATTGGCCCCATTAGAGACACTCTGTTCCACAGGTACTGTGGGTACTGCAGGTACTGCAGCTGCTGCAGGTGCTGCAGGTACACTGGTGTGCATTGGAGGCTGCACTTCCCCTGGACTGGTTTCTGCACTCACACTACTAGGAGGACCAGGAAGACCAGGGCGGCAAGTTTTATCCTGGCATCTCATTTTTCCTCTGCCTCGCCCTCGACTTCTAGAAGGGCTTACACCTGCAGTCTTTTCATAAGGTGTCCAGTTCATGCCAGCACTAAAGCTCAAGCTAGGATTGGTGCTCGTGCCAGCATTGGAGCTTGAAGAGGAGGCCCCTTGAGTACTCAATGCATCAGGACTTGAGGCAGTTGTGGACAGTGTTGGGTTATTTGCTTCGCTTTGGAGTTTTTTCTTTCTTTCAAGCTGCACCATATTGAAGGAATACTGTTTGCTGAGGTTCAAGGTTGTGCCCAGCTCCAGAAAAGTGAACGATTCTTCCTTCAAGAATGAAAGCCATAAATATAATATTTCAAGGCCCTTATTTTCATTCCACAAGCTATCCAGCTTTTCACACAACTTAGAAAGCTGAAATGAGAATGAAAAGCAAAATGATTTCAAAACCATTTTGGGGACGGCTTGTAACAACATGGCAACAAGAAGTGTTGAGGAGAGGATTCATACCTGATTCCGCCCAAGCCAAGAGCAAATAAGGGTGAATCTGGGCGGAGAAGTTGATGGGTAGTCCGGAGGCAAAGTAAATGAAAGCTCAATTGCTGGCAAGTATTTAACGGATATGTGGTTCAATTCTCCGGCCTCCACAGTAGTGAAGCGATTCTTAAAAGGCAACAGTTGGTATTCAATTCTGATCTCTCCAGGTAATGAAACGAATGCGTAGAATTGGCCACAATATTCTCCATTATCTTTCTTGTAAGAGAACTCGTCCGAGTCGAATATACTTTCCAATGCCAGCATCTCATCATTTTGAGCATCTAAATCACTTGACATCTGAAAAACAAAATTAACAAAGTTTAAAAAGACCATTATTGATTGGAGCAGTGGATGTAACCTCATCACTCATACACGAAAAACATCACATTGACACTTTCATCGCTTACTAAATAACTATGAAGCATGAGAAAGATCACGCGCTTGTCGCATGACACATCGTCAAAATTAATAGTTCAAGGAAAAAATTGCATTGGGAGTGGACATGATGACTCCCACCTACCTTCACGGCGCAGCTTCCTCTCTCAAACAGCACGTTAACAGCCCCGCCAAGGGACCTTATCACCCGCGCTGGGATATGCCGACTCCTTCGTCGGAGGCAGATGCAACCCTTTCTCAATGAGAATTGGGTAATTTCGAGACGAAGGCCTGTACGACTATCCTGAAACGAGCGGCGGCGATGTATATTTGCAGTTGTTGTTGTTTTTGTTGCTGTCTTCGTGTAGACATGCGCCTTGTAAGAAAGTCGTAAGCGAGCCTGCAGAAAGAGCCGCAGTGGCGCTGCAGTCGCGTAAATAGCAGACGACGGAAAGCGACGGCATAACCTCCCTCAACCTTCGCCTCTGGGATTCGAAACTGTTCTGAATCTCACCTCTGGCTCTGGCTGTCGTGAAAAACTTGGATGTAACCTGTGTAAGTAGGCGTCTCAGTTTGCTGTAGCAGTTTGGTCTCTATGATCCGTTTCTGTCAAAGAAGTTTTACGGTGGCTGATGCAACTGTCTCAGGGTCTGCAGTTTGTGCGCCCGGTCCGTTCCAACGATACTTTTGTTGAACAGCGTGTTTTTATGGGAAGATAATTATTTTTATTTTTATTAGCATTTAATTCCTTTACTTGGTCGTTCTCGAACAACCCGTATTAGTCCCAGTCATCACATTAACCTGTGAATCGTGAACAAAATTTCACCAGGTTCAACGTCAAACTTTAATAAAATTTATCTACTCTAGAACTTACCTGGCACTGTCATTCCATGGGGCTACCAGTGTTTAACTGCTCCAATCCTAATATTTCTTACAGGCTGGGTGAAGTTGCTAACTTCTTCAATCGTTAAATTAGTTCACAATGTGGCGGTTGAAGCCTCTGTCGAGCTCAGTTAAAGTTTCCACAGTACTGGCCCCAAAATGTCAGTACCCTAAAGGGACAACTATTAGTCAAAAGCTACTTGTTCGTAATTTATGGAATGGGACAAAGAATTGCCAAGCCACCTCCCCAGCAGCTCAATTGAAGACGGATCATGTATTCAAAGAAGGACAAGAAATAGAAGGTTTTACTGTTACTGAAGTAAGTGTTTTGTAGGTAAAAGTCATCTTTATTACTTTTGTCTCAATCTTGTTCATCCAAGTCAGGGCTAATCTTATTTATTTTTAGGTTGGACACATTCCTGAGTACCACTTGACAGCTGTTCAACTTCTTCACAAGGAGACTGGTGCCAAATATTTGCACATAGATAGGAAGGATACAAACAATGTCTTTTCTATCAATCTTCGAACAACCCCTATGGACTCAACTGGTAAAACTTTTGAAACATCTGCATTGGAAGACATGACATCGGTGTCTCTTGTGTAACTTTTTATTAACTTGTAAATGGAATTTTCTTTTTATCAGGCTTACCTCATATTCTGGAGCACACAACATTGTGTGGGAGTGAACGGTTCCCTGTGAGGGACCCTTTCTTTAAGATGTTGGTTCGGTCTTTGGCTACGTTCATGAATGCCATGACCGGCCCTGATTATACCATATACCCATTTGCCACCCAAAACAAACAGGACTACTTCAACCTCATGTCTGTTTATCTAGATGCCGTATTTAGGTATGAATGGTTTCTTTTACTGCCTCCTAAACATTTTGAATTTTTTAATACCAATATTACACTAGGCCCTGGTTTATGATACAAATTCTGACAAGTGTCTTTTCTCTTTTCTATGCAGACCAAAGCTCTCAGAGCTGGACTTCAAGCAGGAAGGATGGAGGCTCGAGCATGAGGATGTGTCGTCCAAAACCTCACCCATTATCATCAAAGGAGTTGTTTTCAATGAGATGAAAGGAGTTCTCTCTGACAACACAAATATTTTCATGGAACGCTTCATGAATTCCATCCTGCCAAGTCACACTTACGCAATCAACTCAGGAGGAGACCCCTTAGTTATTCCAAATCTAACTCACAAAGATTTGGTTGCCTTCCACAAAAATTACTATCGTCCAGAGAATGCTAGGTTGTATTCTTATGGAACATTCCCGCTTCATGAAACTCTAAACTATGTCAGCTCATACCTTAAAAAAAGCCAGGGTAGGTTGTAATAGATTTTCCCCTCCTAAATTTCAATCTTTACAGATTTGTTTCAATTGCTCTGCTACATCATTATTTTTGTTGGTTTGTGTAGGTGAGAATGTAGACTCATCAGTTCCATCAGAGCCAAGATGGAAGGCCGAGAGGCGTGAGCATTACTCTTATCGACCAGATACTTTAGCTGCAGATCCAAAGAAGCAGTCGTCTATAGCTGTTGGCTGGCTCACTTCTGACATCAATAATGTCCAGGAAAACTTTGAACTATCGGTAGGTACATTGAATTTCCTTCATCTTCACCAAAAGAATCACATAATATTATTAATGTTTTCTACTTTTGTGCAGATTATAACAGAGCTCCTTATTAAGGGCCCGAATTCTCCCTTCTACCACACTCTGGTTGAACCCAACATTGGAGCTGGCTTGCACCCCATTACTGGCTTCACATCCCAAACCAGAGACACCATCTTTGCTGTTGGTTTGCAAGGAATGGACTCTGCAGATTTTGACAAAGTGGTCTCAATTATTGACAATACCGTAAGATATTTTGAATTCATATTTTATTGAGGTGCAAGGTATCTTCTTCTGTGTAATTTTTTCTTCCCATTTCCAATTTTAGTTGGCCGATGTGGTTAAAAATGGATTTGAACAAGAGAGAGTTGAAGAAGTTCTGCACAGTATTGAGTTGGGTATGAGGCACCAGTCATCCAACTTCGGTCTAAGTGTACTTTTTGGTTTGGCACCTCTGTGGAACCATGGTGTGAATGTTTTTGATGCACTTCGACAAGCTGATCAAATTGCTAAACTGAAAGCTAAGTTGTCACAATCTCCTACATACTTACAGGTACAAAATCGACATTTCTTTTGTTTTAAAATTATGGAGCACCAATGTTGCTATTCCTAACAAGATCCTTTGTTTATTTGTCTTGTTTGTAGGATAAGGTAAAAGAATGTTTGGTGAATAACTCTCACAAACTCATTCTAACAATGTCTCCAGACAATGATTATGTAGCAAAACAGGATAAAGCTGAAGCAGAAATCCTGGCAGAAAAACTGAAGAAGCTTTCAGAGGAACAAAAGGAATTGGTATGATTCTTTTGATTTAAAAAAAAAAATTACTTATTTGCACACTTTTCATATTGATCAATATCCATTTATCTCATTGCCAGGTATTCAAGCAAGGCCTCGAATTGAAAGAGGCTCAAGAGAAGAAAGATGATCTTTCTGTTCTCCCTACTCTACACATCAGTGATGTTAAAGATGACGTTGAACGCCATCAACTACAGCTGGTCAAGAGCAACAATGTCCCTATTCAATATGCTGCACAGCCAACCAATGGAATCACTTACTTCCGTGGGATAATTAACTCAGCACATCTTACAGAGGAGGAGAAGAATCTGTTTTCTGTGTTTTGCAGTGTTGCTGCAAAAATGGGAGTGAAAGACCACGACTTCCATGAATTTGACCATCTGGTAAGCGGATTAGTTTGGTGCTATTAAATTGTGACAATTTCCGTTCTTGTCTCATGAAAATCTCATTGTTTTTTTTCATCTTTCATTTAAGGTTCAAATGAAAACTGGGGGCCTTGGCATTGGCGTTCAAAGTGTCAATCATACGTCTGATGTGGCTGCCTACGAAGAAGGAATTTTGCTGAGTTCATATTGCCTGGAAAGGAACTTTGAAGCTATGCTTGACCTATGGAGGAAATTGTTATGCTCTGTCACATTTGAAGATAAGAACAGATTAGAGACTCTGGTCAATGACATGGCCTCAGACCTGGTGAATGGTTTGATTCATTCTGGACACAGATATGCTATGTTGAGTGCTGGTAGTCAAATAAGTCCACTAGCTCAGTACCAAGAAATTTCTGGAGGGGTCACTCACATAAATATTATGAAAAAGTTGGCAGGATCTGATGTAGAACCTTTACTCTCTAAGATGCAGGAAATCGCAAAGAAAGTTTTTGTGAAGGATAACCTTCGAATTGCTGTTAACTGTATGCCTGAAGTTCTCCAAGAAACAGAAGCTAAACTTGCGTCTTTCTTAGAAACCATTCCTGGAACTCCAAACTCACAGCCTAAGATTTGGACCAATAATGAACCTGTAAATGAAACCAATCAGCCTGGTATTCATCATGTACTTCCATTGCCTGTTAACTTTGCTGCCAAGTCAGTCTTGACTGTGCCCTACACTCATGAAGATCATGCTGTCCTTCAAGTACTTGGTAAATTAGTGTCTTCCAAATATCTTCATCCAAATATTAGAGAAAAGGGTGGTGCATATGGATCAGGCGTTGGAATAAACCAGTCTGGTCTGTTAAATTTCTTTTCATACCGTGATCCAAATACCACTGCAACTTTTGATATATTTGATAACTCTTATAATTGGGTCAAGAAAAATGAATTTTCTGACAAAGAAATTGATGAGTCAAAACTTGGGTTGTTCCAGGGGCTTGATGCTCCAGTGGCGCCCGGGTCAAGAGGAAATCTCAACTTTGTCAACCACATCACTTATGATATGCTGCAAAAATATAGGTTGAGTGTCAAAAATGTGACCCGGGATAGAATATTAGAAGTAGCAGCTAAGTTCCTTAATCCTGAAAGCAAGGTTATTGCATCACGCACTTTAATAGGACCTGAAAATAAGGATATTGCTTCTCGTCCAGGGGAATCTTGGAAATCTATGTCTTACGAAAACTAACCATCTGTTTTCCATTTCAATCCATCATTGTATTTGCATTTGAAACCAATTTTTGTATACAAGCTGTAAATGTTATGCAACTTTGTTGTATCCTGAATAAATTTTATGATTAGTATGAAGTTGTTACTCATTTGACCTGTGATTTTTTATTTCAGGCTATCTAAATATTTTAAACCGTTAAATCAAAGCACCCACAAATAAAACTTCTTTTTTTTTTTTTTTACAGTTTTGATGCTTAAATTTTTTTTTTAACGGTTGCTTTAGGATGGCAACGCCCTACCTGCCGCGCGGGTTCCACTCCAGAGAGGAGTACTTGGAGGCGGCGCTGCGGCTGCTCTGCCAGTACGAATGGCTCTTCAACTGGCCGGTGACGCAGATTCTGTCGTGCGGGATGCTGGATGAGCTCCCCTTGGAATGGTGGGAACCGCTGCAACGCCTGTCGCTGAAAAACCTGAACGAACTCCCGAGAGGCGTAAGCGTAGTTCCGGCTGCAGTGATCTCGATGGAATCAACAGACTGCTTCCGAGGGTCGTCCTCGTCGCTCTGCCTCTCACTCACGCCTCCACCGGATGCCCCATGAGTGCGAGAACGACAGGGCGACGAAAACGACTCGGAATCAGTCTGCAGACGCACAGTGGGCCAGAAGACCGGCGCGGGCGGCCAAAAGTCTGAATGAGTTTTGAGCTCCAGAGTCGCGAAACAGGACTCGAACCGAACTTGTGACCCCACCAATGGATTGCTCGTTCGGAGAGCATTCCATTGATGGGGCCACACGTTCGGTTCGAGTCCCATTTGGCGACTCTGGAGCTCAAAACGCGTCCGGGGTTCGGCCGCCTCCACCGGTCTTCTGGCCCACTGTGAGACGGAGCGGAGCGGTTGGTGTCGCTTCACTTCCCTGTCGGCTCGTGTCGGTGTTCCAGGTGTGCCACGACCGGTGGCCCGAGTCCCTGAAGAGGCTGGTGACCGCCTGCACCGCGCTGCGCCTCCCGGTCGCCGACCTGCCGTTGCCCATCGCCACGCACATGGAGGGCCGGCTGCGGCACGCGCTGCGCAAGGGCATGACCCCCAAGAAGGTGCACGAGGTCACCCACCTGGCCGCCGTCATCCACGAGCAGTGCGCTGCCGCCAACGTCAAGTGTATCGTCGACATGGGTTCTGGTCACGTGAGTAAGGCCGTGGGTTCAACTCCCGGCGACCCCTCGGGTTTTTCTGTTGTTTTCATTTTCTTTTGAATTTAATTTTGGTGAGTGACGAGTTGGTTGACCTGGCAGGGCTACCTGTGCGAGGTGCTGCACCACGCTTACGGCTACCGCGTGGTGGGCCTGGAGTCGGTGGCGGACAGGGTGGAGGAGTCGGCGCGTCGACACGAGGAGATCTGCCGCGCCATGGGGAAGCCAAGCGGCCGCGTGCGCTACGTCGAGTGCGACGTGTCGGCCGACAACCCGGGGCCCATCGCGGCGGCGCTCGCGCAGGTCGGGGTTCAACTCCCGTTCAAAACTTCTTTTAAAAAAAAATGTATTATTCAGTTACATTTTTGTTGACGGAATGTGACAGGAGGCCGACGAGGAGGGGCGGCCGCTGCCGTTCTGCCTGGTGGGGCTGCACTCCTGCGGCGACCTGACGCCCAGCGCCGTGCGGCTGTTCCAGAGCCTGGAGCAGATCAAGAGCATGGTGCTGGTGGCGTGTTGCTACCACCGCATGAGCCTCGCCCCCACGCCGGCCCACTGCCCGCCAGGTAACCGCTACCGCTCCACAGTGGGCCAGAAGACCGGTGGAGGCGGTCAAAATCCCCGACGCGTTTTGAACTCCAGAGCCGCTAACTGGGACTCGAACCGAACCTGTGACTCCATCATTGGATTGCTCTCCGAACGAGGAATCCGATGGTGGGGTCACACGGTTCGGTTCAAGTCCCATTTGGCGACACAAATTTAAAAATGAAAAATTTATTTTGCCCTTTAAGATGCGCTACAGCCCGTGAGCGGCAGAGTGGGAGAGCGACAGGGCAAGGTGGAGCGAGTGCTGCAGTGGCAGGTGCGGCGGTGGAGCCGCGAGCACCGCGATGACGTGCACGAGGACGACGAGGACCACGCCGAGGAGATCCGGCTGGCGGTCGAGTGGCTGGGGCCGCGGGGCCCGCTGCTCGCCGCCCGCGCTCCGCCCGCCAAGGAGCACTTCTTCAACTTCCCCCTGAGCGCCTCGCTGCGCCACCTCACACACTGCGGCCGCCCGCAGTCCTGGAGCGCGGTGTGCTCGACTGCGTCCTCGTCGGCCAGCACGACGGCGTCCTCGTCCTCGACGGTGTCGTCGACGGCGTCCTCGTCGGCCAGCACGACGGCGTCCTCGGCGTCCTCGTCCTCGACGGTGTCGTCGACGGCGTCCTCGTCGGCCAGCACGACGGCATCCTCGTCGACCAGCACGACGGCGTCCTCGTCGGCCAGCACGACGGCATCCTCATCGACCAGCACGACGGCGTCCTTGTCCTCGACGGCGGCCTCGATGTCAGCGTGCTCGTTCCTGCGGCGGCCCATGCTGCGCCTCGCCGCGCAGGAGACCGTGGAGCGCTGGGAGAAGATGTCGGTGGAGACGCACCAGCGCCACAGCCGCCACGTGATGGCGAGGGCCGTGTTCGAGCTCTACGCGTCGGCGAGTGAGTGTTCCGTGTTCGTCTCCAACGAATTGGCAGTACACAATGGGCCGGAGGACCGGCGGAGGCGGCCAAAGCTCCAGATGCGTTTTGAGCTCCATAGTCACTAAATGGGACTTGAACCGAACGTGTGACCCCACCAATGGATTGCTCTCCGAACGAGGAGTGCATTGGTGGGGTCACACGTTCGGTTCGAGTCACATTAGTGACTCCAGAGCTCGAAACGCGTCCGGGATTTTGACCGCCTCGACCGGTCTTCTGGCCCACTGTGCGGCGGCTTCCTGGCGCGTGTTGATGGCAGTGTGGTTGTTGCAGACGGCATCCAGCTGGCCCGGCGTGGCAGCCGCTGCCTGCGCGGCGCCGCGCTGTCCCTGGACGCGCGCGCCGTCCTGGAGGAGATGGTGCAGCGCCTGGTGGCGGGGGCGTCCGCCGAGGAGCTCGCCCAGCACAAGAAGGCCGTGTGCACGCTGTACGCGGCGCTGGAGCCGCTGCGGCCCCTGGTGGAGGCGCTGACGGCGCTGCAGAGCGCGTTGCAGAACGTCTGCGAGGGCCTTGTGCTGGTGGACCGCCTGGCGTGCCTCGCCGCGGGCACGGACCAGCACGCCGCCAACGCCGTCACCGTGCTCAAGGTGGCCGACCAGCTGCTGACGCCGAGGTGCTACGCCCTGGTCGCCACCAAGTAGTGCCTGGGCCTCAGTATGTTTTTTCGGGGAACCCCTGCCATGCGCTGCATAGGCAACCCGCGCGCAGTGCTGTGGAGCGGGTTGCCTATGCGCCGGTCTGCGGGCGCTTCCCTCTCTTTGTCTCTAATCTTTCCTCTGTCTCTGTTTTCACTCCTCCTATCTCTACATTCTCTCCTATCATTCCCATCTCTCCACCAGGCGGGGAGAGACTTACGTCAAGATTTGTGCGCTAAAGGCTCGTGACATTGTAGTTCAAAGTACGGTTTAAGGTTACCTCGCGTGGAAACGCCGCCATCGCATGTCTACTTGTAATGTAAATGTACGTGAAAAAAATAAAAGATTACGTTATATAACGAGCCTGTGCACGTGTCTTTCATATTAATTTCGAGCAAACAATTGTCTGTTTGAGACGGTGTCGGTCAGAGAAACCCTCCCAGTGTAGTGTCTCGCGACAGTTTACGCAAATCGCCGCCATTTGAATCCGGCCACCAACGTCTGAGAAACTTGGAAAGGCGCCAGCTGGTGGGCTGATGACGTCATACGGTTGTCAACGGCGCTGTGAAGGGTGAGGGAAGGGCGACCTGGAGGGGGTAGTTCCAGCCCTGCCAGCTCCGCCCTGGCGCGCAGCGCCCCGCGGCCGCTCGCCGAACTAACGCGACCGCCAACTTTTGAGTTTGGCATTCGCCGCGCGTTTCCAAATTGAAAGAAACGAGATATTCTTTAACAAAAAATTCAATTTACGTACAATTTAATGTGATTTCTCGTGTGTGTTTGTTAGTTTTGTTGCTGTCTAGGGTGTGGGGTGGTTGCGTGGAAAAAAACACTTGGGTTTCTATTGGGCATACACTTTATTGTAGTTATTACTAATTGATTAGTTCATATATCACACAGAAGGAGAAAAGATAAGATTATTTACAAGTAGTGCTCTATCCTAGATGCTGTAGATATATGAAAATATACGTATATACATTGTAGGTATAAAACATATAAGCAGAGGAACGAAAGTTATGTACACATTCAGTAAAGTCAGCATTCGAATCAACTCATCGAACAAAAGAGCAGCTTGCACGAGAACAACAGGAAACAATACAAACGACAAGAAGCTAGCCTCGCCTTATTGTTACAGACATCACATTATTTACGGCACATCACTTAGCAAACCCAACAACAACAATCACATCTCCTGCGACCGGAGGCTGGCGCCGCGCAAGGTACTGAAAAAAGACCTTTTTTTCGGTGCTACATTGTGTCGCCAGCCCCCGCTCGCCCTATCAGTCTAACTCTTTCGATCCACCAGGCGGCGGGTAACCCGCACAGCCCAGCGCGGTGGCCACCTGGGCCAGACCACCTGGCCATGTGGGCCATGTGGCCACCGGCACACACCCAGAAGCAGCAGGGCCTCGTGTCTCCCCGGCCACTCACAGACACATCGAGGCAATAAGGTAGCACAACAATGTTTTTTCGGAGGGGTGAAACGTCACAGGAAGACCGTTTCGTAAAAAGTCGATAGAACACAAGAAATCTGAAGCTGATATGAAGTCGGCGCAATAGTGGCCGTGTGAGAGAGGGGAAAAGGTTTATAAAAATGAGCGATAGAGTGGCACAAAACATCTCCGGTCATAGTACGAAGATTAATAGGATTAGGTCAGCTACGCGCTCACAACAAAGCATCGTATGGCGGAAGTGATTCGACCGCGAGAATCCAAGAAAGCTGATGATTGTTCTGTCGAAAATAAGTACAATTGACACGATTTTACGAAATGGCGGAAAATCTTCACCTCGTTTACCGTTCGAAGAGAGGCCGCCAAGAATACTGATGAGACTTAAAGATAACAACAAAGGCAAACAAAAGTTTAATTTGTACAAGTCAGTATTTCACTTAAAATTAAATTACACTCTTTGAATAGACACTTACTATCAACTCAAGTTAGTCACAGTCATTGTCAAGATATTCCCCATGAGGGGAGCTTTGGCATACACAACTGTTTAACTCTACTGATTCAGGTAACGCTCTCCTATTTTGCAAAGGTTAAACTTACCCATCTGCCAGGCCTTGTATCTCTAGATACAGTAATAATGAGAGGAAAAGAGCAGTCTTTATTTAGAACTTTTGAATTTTTACGTTTTTTTCCCAGCGGAGAGAGTGTGATACATTTTACTTTAAAAAAGCTCAAAACAAAGTTTTTTTTTCTTTTTTGAAGTTTCACTTGGAATGATATGCTGAGTCACAAAGCCTGTATGCTATTTCATCGTGAGTCACCACAACCGTGACTGCAACTGAATCTACGTTTCTTTTCTTCTCTAAAAACAAAATGAAAACTACTTGACCGGGGCTGCGAGCCAAACAAGTGTTGGCTCGACGAACACCGATGTGGTCAGCGTGTGCCAGACCCTCGTAATGTTTTAAATTAAATATCACTATGAGACGATTTTACACATACACTAAAACAGTGATTCGTCGCCCGCTTTTTACACGTTGGATAGTGATAATAAGAGCAGCAGTTGCTGCATAATCATGTAAATACTTTTTACACACCTCGCCGACAATATTTCCTGCCACGCCGCCGAACTGCGGCCAAAGTTGCTCTGCCTGCTCTTCCGTTGAAACTTTGGGAAACAGCGCACGCGAAAACAGAACACGTCTTTTGATTTTCGCGCTGACAAGATTTCGTCTCCGGAAAACGCTCTGCCGGGAGAGGAGCCCGCGGTGAACGCGCAAGGAGTATGGAGCCATGTCCGAAATACAAGAAAAGAGCGCGCAAACGACGAGAGCGGGAAATTTATAGACGGAGATGGGAGGTGCGAGAGGAATAGCGGCAAAGTCTCTACCAGTCTACAAGCTGTTCTTTTTTAACACAATGCGAAATTCACTTGCAAACACAACAAGCTCAGTGGCGACTTAAACGCATTCGAAATGCGAGACACAAATTTTAAAAGGAATCTTTGACGACTCGTTCGGTTTTTACCTCCTCCCAACGACACCCAGTAGCTAATCAGTCAGTTTCTCAAAGAATAAAGAAACGAAATGAAATACTTAACTAACTAAAACAGTCGCAAAACTGATAAGAACCAAATAAAAACAGCCAGAGCAAACATTTTGCTGTCCCAGCTCGGCTTGCTGGTACTGCCGACACAAAGTTTCAAGTAATTTACAACTTGAAGCAGTTGGTTATTGCTCGTCGCGTGTCCAGGACTGAGTCCACGCGACGAAAGAAACAGAGCTCTGCGCGTAAAGCGTCGGTGACGTCATGACGCAGCCAATCAGAGAAGCCGCACAATTATTAACGACTCTGAGAAAACTAACTAAGGCGATCTCACAACGTTGATGTTTGGTTTCGGAAGAGAGTTGCTGGAAACACTACGAAAAGAAAGAGAAGGGTCGCGACGCATCTTTCCTTTCCTGCTCTTTTTCCCTCTTCAGTCGGACTTCTTCTTGAGGGCGGACAGCTCCTCCACCAAGGAGCCCTCGTCAGCCACGATGGGCGCGCTGCGCTTGCTCACGGACGGCAGCAGCGACAGCAAGTCCTGTAACACAAAGGGACGCGGTTCAAATCCCCTGCGCAGTGTTTTTGCCAGAATGCCGTTGGAGGCGGAGAAAGCTCCGCACGCGTTTTGAGCTCCAGAGTCGCTAAAATACGACTCGAACAGAACATAGTGTGACCCCACCCCACCAATGGATTGCTCTCCGAATGAGGAATCTATTGGTGGGGTCACACGCTTGGTTTGAGTCCCCTTTAGCGACTCTGGAGCTCAAAACGCGTCTAGAATTCCGGCCTTTTTCTGCCCCTCCTTCGCATCAACGTGCGGTGGAGTGGGATAGGATAGGGGCAGCCTAGCGTGGCGGCTGTTGCGCAGTGTCTCCAAGTATCGAAATGGCGGGAGAATCGATAGGAAAAAATGTCGGCGATAGCGTATCTTGTTGACGTCATCGCAGAACATGTCAATAACTGTGCGCGTCGGTGGCCCTGGCCCACCTGTACGTCCGTCTGTCTGACTCTGTCTGTCTCTGCGCGTCACGAGGGTAAACCGCTTGTCAATTTTGGCTTGTGCTAGTTTTTCCAGTGTTGGGCTAAGTTGCTGCCCGTGAGTCCGTATTCAATGCCTCCGCGTGCGCGGCATCGAACGCGTGTGCCCGATCTCTCCTCGCGCACCTGGTTCGCCTGGCTCGCCTGGCTCGCGGTGCCGGAGGACGAAATCCCACAAAAGGGAGCAAAAGGGATCCATCAAAGCGAGCTCAGAGTTGGTGGTGGTGCTCTTCCCCGCGCGGATCGCCTCGTCCTCCACGCAGCAACAGCAGAGAGAGAGAGAGAGAGAGAGAAAGAAAGAGACGTCCCGGACGGCATGCGCTGCCCCGCCTTTGAGAACCCAGTGGGCGGATCGCACGCGCGGGGCTGGCGGGGCCGGCCGGTCAGGGTAGGCAACCCAGGACCAGCCAGGCACAGCTAGGGCCAGAACGAGGGGGAGGGGAAGTTCGGGCGGTGCCTTGGCGGGGCTGGCGGGGCTGGCGGGGCCTTGGCGGGCCGCGGCCGCGATGACGTCAGCACGCCGCTTGTGAATGAAGGGTCGGGCGCAGCCTGGCGCAGGGCCAAGTTGCGACTGTCTCTCTCTTTCTCTCTCTCTCTCTCGCACAGCCCGCTGTCCGAGGCGAAGGCCCTCGTGCCGGTCGTGCCGTGCGCCGTGCCGTCCGCCGTCCCGATCCACGAGTTAGAGAAGTCTCCGACGGCTGAAATTTTAACACCTCGGGGACTTGGGGTGTGCTGGTCCGGCCGACCGCCGCGCTATAGCGCCTCCACAAATAGCTCTGTCTCTCTCCTTCCAGGGGAGACGCCGGCGGCAGGGACCAGCAGGGACGCCGAAGATAAATAAAACGTGTTATCGATCGCGCGGTTCGGAGGGACCGTGGAGGGACCGTGGAGGGACCGTGGAAGGACCGTGGAGGGACTGTGGAGGGACCGTGGAGGGACCGTGGAGGGACCGCGAGGACCGTGAGGGACACTCGAAGCAGCAACGCGTCGAACCCCCTTGCGCGCTTGCGGATTCGGTTGGCCTCTGCCTACCCCTTTTGCAGTCTGTACGCGGCTTATGGGTGCTCGAACCCGCCCCGCCCCGCCCCACCCCTCCAACCCCAGCGCTGTGCTCGCCGCCCCCGCAGCCCGGGAAGTCTGTTGCGTGGGCGAGCCAGCGCGGGGGTGGGCCCTGCGGGGCCTGCGGGGCGGGGGGGGCGGCGGGGGCGGGCGGGGCTGAGTCGGGTTCTGCGGGGGCGTTGCAGCAAATGCGCAGACGAAGGGGTTGGGGTGGGGGAGGCCAGGCCCGGCCCGGCCAGCCCCCGCCCGGTGGAGGAAGGATGATGGAAAGTATAGGCATTCCAGGAAAGGATAATCCCTGGCGCTCTGCATGGTCTGCTTCCTGAGAATGGCATGCAGGCCTGAAGCCTGCAGTGCGAAGGCCTTCGTTAACGAGCCCCGCACTCGAACGCCAGCGGCCTGGAAGGCCTGGAAGGCCTGGAAGGGAAGCCTGCAATCCCCTCTAATCACGTGTGCGGCCCTGGGGCGGGGCGGGGCGGGCGGGGTGGAGGTAGGGGCCGCATGGGGGTGCTGGAGCGTCAGAGCCACGGTAGCGCTGTGGAGTGTCGTCTACCAACGCTCTGTGCACGTTGACGCTGTAGCGTTGCTGTCATGGTGCGGCTCCACGGTGACACCGTGGTGTCGCCGACGGCGTCCTGGTTGCTGACGCGCTGACGCCGACGCCAGCGCTGCTGGGGCGTGCAGTGTAGTGGCGGCAAATTAATTACTGGCGAAACGAAAGCTGTCGCTTTGGGCTTTGGCCGTGCCGCGGCGCCGAGGCCGTCAGGCCGTGCACGCGGATGCTGATGGAGTGAGGGAAAGGTCAGCCGTTCGCGACCCGTTTCCCCGACCCGCGGCACAGTGGGCCGAAGACCGGTGGACGCGGACAAAGCTCCAGACGCGCTTTGAGCTCCAGAGTAGCTAAATGGGACTCGAACCGTACGTGTGACCCCACCAATGGATTACTCGTTATGAGAGCAAGGCATTGGTGGGGCCACACGTTCGGTTCGAGTCCCATTTAGCGACTCAGGACCTCAAAACGCGTCTAGAATTAGCCGCCTCCTCCGGTCTTCTGGCCCACTGTGCGTTGGCCGTTCCCCAGCATCGTTTCAGATCAATTAAAAAACGGCGGCTCCGGCGACTCGACTCGACCCGGCCAAGGACGGCACGGCCATATTGAACCGCGCGGCGGCAAAAACGGGGACGCCGGCAAAACGCGGCCAAGCGGAACTATCCGATTGGCTGCGCAGCTGTGACGCGCTGGCGCCGCGGTGCTTCGTCGTCGTGCTCGTCGTGGTGGTCGTGGTGGTGGTCGTGGTGGTGGTCGTGGTGGTGGTCGTGGTGGTGGTCGTGGTGGTGGTCGTGGTGGTGGTCGTGGTGGTGGTCGTGGTGGTGGTCGTGGTGGTGGTCGTGGTATGGTCGTGGTCGTGGTGGTCGTGGTCCTCGTCGTCGTCCTCATTGTGGCCGCAAACAAAAGGGAAGCCGCTCGAGTGGCTGCTGGAGTACGGCGATAAGGGAAGCCGCGCGGGAATTCAGAGAAATTCGAAAACAATAAAAAAATAAAAAATGTGCCCCGTGGCGTCGGGCGTGTACTGCTTCGGCGCCACAGGCTGCCAGTGGCGTGGAGGCACTGGCTCGGCAGAGAGCAGGCGAGGCGTGACGTCACCTGCTTTATTTTAGCCTTCCGCACTCCTTTGATTCCTCTATGAGCTCGCTGCCTTTCCGGCGTACCACGCTGAATCTCGTCAGCCCGAAAGGAAATTACGGCGTGGGGTTCTCTCTCGCACCCCTGCGGGTCGGCCCGTGAGTGGGACAGAGACAGAAGAGCCCTTGTTGCACTGGCGGCGGGCGAGACACCCTACTTGTCCTCCAGCCGCGCGTGCCGTGTTCGTCCAAATTGGATTTTTGCGCCGAGAATGGCGCTGTGGCGCTTCGTGTTTCGCTCTCGCCCTCACCCTTTCGGCCTGCCGGCCTGCCGGCCACGCTTTTCCCTCCAATTTCGTCCGGCGCCCTCTTTGAAGCCCCCGAATAGGACGCCGGCTGATGACGTTAGGCAGAGAGGCGAAGTGTGCGAAGCTCAGTCTCGAGGGCTCCCTCATTGCCACCGAAAAATCAACGCGTTTTTCACAGTGTTGGTGGCGCAGCGTTGAAGTCTGTCGTAACTTCGGCACGGTCCAGCCGAAGCTTTTAGCCCCCCGCGAGGTTCCGCGAGGCGGGGCGGGGCGGGGCGGGGCGACTGAGTGGTCGTCGCGGGGGTGGTTAATGGTCAGAGAGGCTTGTCGTGTACTCACCGCATTCCTCGGCCCCATGGTGTCCTGGACTCGCAGCAGGTTCCGGATCTCGTCGACGCCGCCCTGGTGGTGGATGGCGGGGCGCTGGGAGGCGCCGCGCGGGGAGGACGCTACGGCGGCTCGGACGACGGGGCGCGGCCGGCTGCCCAGCTTGGCGGGCCGCAGCAGCGCCACCTCGGGCTGCCCGCTCCGCTGGCCGACGGAGAGCGTCCTCTTCATGGGGGGCGGTGTCGGCGGTGTTGCCTTGGCGGTCGTCGTGGTCGTCTTGGTGGTGGTGGAGGCCGGCGTCGTGGTGCGCGCGGCGGGCCGTTCGGTGGAGGCGGCGGCAGGGGCGGGCACGGGGACGGGGGCCTTGGTGGAGGCGGGGGCCTGCAGGTACTGGTACTGCGTCTTGCTCCTGGTGGCGCGCTGCGGCACGGCCTCGTCCACGCTGCCCATGTAGTACCCCTGCGAGCACATAGCATCCCGTCAGAACACCGCGCCGAGAAACGCATTCCCAGGAGACACAAAACACTCACGTTCCAGATGGGGTCGCGGCCGTTCCAGGGCTTGGGCTCCTGGCCGTGGTACATGTTGGAGAGGCCGCTCTTGGCGAACAGCTTCTCGAGGTCCTGGTCGAGCTGCTCACTGGCGTCGTCGGCGAACTCGACGCGCCGGTTCTGCTCCTCGCGGTCGCGGCGTCGGCCAAGCGCCGCCTTGATGAGCGCCTGCGTCTCCAGGTCCTGCAGCCGCTGCTCCTCCGTGCGCGACTTCTTGGCCAGCGCGTGAAGCTCGCGCACGTCGTCGTCGTCGTCCTCCTGTTGGCCGAGGCTCAGGGTTAGCTCGCGCTTGCACGGTGAGCCAGAAGACCGGTGGAGGCGGTCGAAATCCCAGACGCGTTTTGAATTCCAGAGTCACTAAATGGGAATCCAACCAAACGTGTGACCTCACCAATGGATTGCTCTCCGATCGAGGAATCCATTGGTGGGGGTCACACGCTCGGTTCGAGTCCTGTTTAGCGACTCTAGGGCTCAAAACGCGTCTAGAGTTTTAGCCGCCAGCTCCGGTCTTCTGGCCCACTGTGTATCTGTTTCTATAGTTCAAGGGAATGGACACGCTACCTGGTCGACGCGGTACTGGTAGCGTCCGTAGGCCGCGGGCTCATACGCGCGACCGCTGCTGGCCGCCCCGTTGGTGGTGCCCGCGTTCACGGACCCGAACACGTAGTCGTCGCTGTCGCGGTACCGCGGGTCCAAGTACCTCGGCGGCGCCGCGTAGGCCGGCAGCACGGCGGTCAGCCCGAGCTCCTGACCGAGGCCCTGGCCGAGGCCCATGCGGTCCAGCCGGTCGTTGAGCTGGTTGGCCTCCATGAGGTTCTGCAGGAAGGCGGCGTTGGCCGCCGTGTCCGTGGCCGCCGAGTCCCACCACTGCTCCTGGCTGTAGTCGGTGTCCTCGTCGTAGTCGTCCGGGTACAGGTAGGGCGAGGACGCCGCCCCCTGGGGCAGCCCTTGGGGGCGCTGCTGCTGGGGCTGCGGCTGCGCGTACAGCTCCGGGTAGTAGTTGTTGGAGCGGGTGGAGCGCGCCACCCGCCGCGCGCGCGCCGCCACCGCCGGGAAGCTGTCCACCAGCGCGGTGAACATCACCACGGCCAGGAGGGCCACTGCCAGCCCGTGGCGCGACATCTGCCAACAGAAACCAGCGACGCGTTAGCCGAGCGAGTAGCGACGTGGCGATGCAGACGGCCGTCGCGGGTTCGATTCCGACGAGGGTCTGATTTCTATTGATCGCTCGCGCGTCCCGGCGTCACTCGTGCGTCACTCGTGACGTCGCCGTCCGCGTCGCAGAGCCACGTGTCTGCGCGTCCCAGCGTCACGGCCAATCGAAGCCATCGAAGCACGAGGCGTCATAGGCCGCGGCGCCGTGGCACTGTAGCACGCACGCGGGATAGAAATAGAATTCGGGAAGGGTGGAGAGGAAGAGAGCGATAGAGCTCGAAAAGGGTGGAGGGGGGAGGGAGGGATAGGCGAACGGTAGGTGTCTAGGCGATGCCAACAGCCACCACGGCACGCGGCATGCGCAGGCCGCACAGTGGGCCAGGAGACCGTGGATGGAGGCGGCCAAAATCCCGGACGCGTTTTGGGCTCCACAGTCGCTAAATGGGACTCGAACCGAACGTGTGACCCCACCAATGGATTGCTCTCCGAACGAGAAATCCACTCGTGGGGTCACATGCAAAGTTCGTGTCCCATTTGGCGACTCTGGAGCTCCAAAACGCGTTCAGCAGCGTTTTGGCCGGTCTTCTGGCCCACTGTGGGCCGGACGGCGGAAAGATAATCGAGCAGGGATAGAGATAGAGCCACGCGTGCGGGGCGAGGTCAGCAGCTACCGCGGCACGGCAGAGTAGAAAGAGGCAGAAACGGGAATGAGGGATAGGCGCTGCAGCAGGTGTCGCGTCGATAACGCGGCCCTATTCACGGCCTCGTTGTAAACTGAAGCGGCTAGCGGGGCTGGCAGTATCGCCCGTAAAGCCAACCGCTCTCTCTCTCTCTCTTTCTCTCTCTCTCTCTCCCTCTCTTTCTCTCTTTCTGCCCACTCCCCGTCTCCCTCCTCTGCATTTTATGCCTCCGGTAAAAGTTCCCCAGCCAGGATGCTTCGTGATGGAGGCGCCAAGCGAGCTGGAGTTGTCAGAAATCCTTTCCGCTCCTCTCGGCTCCCTCCTCCATCCTCCCCTGCTTCACGGCAGGCAGGCAGGCAGGCAGGCAGGCAGGCAGGCAGGCAGGCAGGCAGGCAGGCAGGCAGGCTGGTAGGCCGCAGGCTCGCCAACTGTTGCTGCTCCCGTTAACGAGCGCCCAGCCTGCAGACTGATTCCGAGAGTCGTTTTCGTCGCCCTGTCTCTCTCGCACTCGTGGGACTTGCCCTGCAGCTGCGAGAGAGACAGGGCGACGAAAAAGACTCTCGGAATCAGTCCGCTGCCTGCCCGGCTGCCACATCGCGATTACAGGTGATGCGGTTGGCAAGCCTGCTGGCAACCCTGCGGACTGGTTCCGCTGCTTCTGTCTCTGTCGCAGCTGTGCTGCACTGTAACTGCCTTACGGTGAAAGGCTGCACCAACATATTATGGTGGAGATTTTCTCCATAATAGTACCAACGAAATTCGTCAAAATATCTATAAGAGACAGTGAATACTCGATGGTATGTTACGAAGTCAGCTGCACCACCATAATACGGAACATTTTCACCATAATATGGAGAATCTTCACGGTACAACATTTAGAGTGTGCTGCTAGGTGTTTCGGACGCCGCTGCCGAAAACCGGAGGCAGCTGCTGCCGGTTTTGAGCGCGGCAATCCGGATACCGTCACATCTAACAGAATCACGCGGCTCGGAAGCCGAGATTTTCCTTTACCGTGCAGTGCCGCGCAAACGCACGCCCACTCCGAGCGGGCGGCAGCCAATCCCTCAAATGGAAACTTATTGTGTTTGCTTCAACTCTCCCTCTGTCTGTCTCTCTCGCTCCGCTGTTTGCACAGAGAAGTAGTCGGCCGTGGGCTGTGCGCCGCTCTGTGCCATGCTCCGCGCTCCGCCTCACGCCTGGAGCCTGCAGACTGACCCGCGCGAGCCGTTCTGTCTCTCTCGCACTGACGGGGCGTCCTCTGTAGGTCGGGAGGGAAGGGAGACAGAGTGACAACAGCGACTCTCGGAATCACTCTGCCGGAGCCTGCAGGCCTGGGCGCGGCCGGCGCGGCTCTGACATTTCGGCCGCGTCGTCGTCTGACCTTTCGGGAGGCTGTGGACTCCGCCGACAGTGGCGTGCCCGGCGTGGCGTGGCGGCGGTGCATCAGGACCAATCCCATCATGCTAATCCCGTCGGCCATTGTCACAGAACCGCTACGCAAGCAATCAGGAGCTGTGCAGTCATTCGACTCGCTGTCTGTCTGTCTGTCTGTCTGTCTGTCTGTCTGCTTCCCGTCCGTCCGTCCCCACGCAAGCCCTCCGGGGGCCGCCCCCGCGTCGTCGCGGTGCATGGTGCCCGATGGTGCCTCGCCGTCAACAAGAGTGCCAGGGGAAGGGGGGGGGGGGGTTGCTCAGTGGCGCGTACCTCTGCCAGATCGAATTGACAGTGTCGCGTCACATGGCCGAGCGCAAAACAGGACTGAAAACCTAATAGGGTTGTCCGGGTGAGGCTCAGAGAGGAGGAGGAGGAGGAGGAGGAGGAGGAGGCGGAGGAGGAGGAGGAGGAGGGAGGAGGAGGAGGAGGAGGAGGAGGAGGAGGAGGAGGAGGAGGAGGAGGAGGAGGAGGAGGAGGAGGAGGAGGAGGAGGAGGAGAAAAAGAGAGCAGAGAAGAGGGAGGGAGGGAGAGAAATTCTAGAAGCAGGCGGCAGGCAGGAGCTGTGCTCTGCTGCTCTGTGAACCGGTGACCTTTTGAACAGACTCCGGCGAGGCGGCCTGGCCCAGCGGCCCAGCTAGCTCCTCTCAGCCGCGCCCCGCCTGCCTGCCTGCTCTGGAAAGAACGCGAGCAAGCCACCCTGTCATACGTCGGGGTTAGCCCAAAAATTTCAAAAATTTCATTTCGTCTTCGCGTTGCTACAAATTAATTGTCGCATTACTCCGCGCGGGAAACTAAATATAAATAGCGAGCTGCCTGCCCTGGCCGCTCGGCCGTGCCGACTTCACGGAGCCCCGCCAGGGCAGCCAGGGCCTGTCGGGTTCTCTGACCCGACCCCCGGCAGGCCTCCAGGCAGGCAGGCAGGCAGGCTGGCGAGGGCAGCGGAGGTCACCACTTATATTAGTCCTGGCACGGACAATTTAATGGGCCTCGCAGAAGCTCGATCGCGCCTTCTGATTGGCTGGATCGGCCGCCGACGTCGGAGTTCGGCCAATCACGGTGGCGCGCGCGTCGCGGGGCAGGTCATTGTCTGCGACTGCAGACTGATTCCGAGAGTCGTCGCTCTGTCTCTCTCTCGCACCTACGACTCAAGCGTGCGAGAGAGAGAGACAGAGCGACGACTCTCGGAATCAGTCTGCTGTGTGCACAGGCGTCGCCGTCCTGTTTTAAGGGGTTCGCGCCGCGTCAAGCCGCCCAAGCCCGCCCTGGCCACCCGCCCCGCGGAAGGGAAGGAGCCAGTTTGGGAACCGGATTAAGACGACATTTTTCCCCCGGCTGGCGGCGGAGTGGCGGGGAGCGTCCTTGGGTCCTCGACGACGTCCTCGACGTGGTCCTCGAGGCGCGACGAACAGCGGCGGGGGGAGAGCGGCGAAAACGGGTAAAAAGGAGAAAAAGGGGGCGGAATAATGTTTTTTTTTCGCGGGAAATCCTCTTTGCAGTTTAAATAACCGCCGGCTAATCTTTAGTGCACGCGGCTCGGGTACGGGAAGGGGAAGGGGGAAGGGGGGGGGGACATTAAGAGGAAGCCATTACCGCGGACCGCACGTGTGGGTGGTTGGTACCTGCACCAGGTGCCACCAACAGCCTCACCTCTAATTTTTTTCATTTTCATTTCTTTTTTCATCAAAAAGAAAAGAAGGGTTGAGGGTTGACGCTCCCTCGAGCGTCTGATTTGCAAGAGGAAAAGCCCCGCTGTTCACGACACTGGTTTCTGCGGCTCGGCTGGCTGCGAAGGCCCAAAGTTTTGTCAACTAGAGCGCGGCGGCGGCGGACGGCCGAGCTGGGGGTTGGTCAGCCCTGGGTCAGCCCCGGGTCAGCCTGACCACTATCGCTGGCGGCGACTAACTTCTGCCGCGGACGAACGGGAACGGGGACACGACGTGCGGACCGCATGGGAAAGGTGTCGGTCGGCACGATTCAATTATAAATAGAGCGGAGGAGGCGGCGAATTCGGACCCGGAGCTGTCACACAGTGGATTGACGCGTTTTCAGCTCCAGAGTCGCTGAACAGCACTCGAACCGAGCGTGTGACCCCACCAATGTATTCCTCCCTCACTCAGAGAGCAATCCATTGGTGGGATCACACGTTCGGATCGAGTCCCGTTTAGCGACTCTCGAGCTGAAAACGCGTCCGGTATTTCGACCGCCTCCACCGGTCTTCCGGCCGACCCACTGCGTGTCAGTCCCCAGAGCGCCCGCGAAGTCCAGGGTAGGCCACCCGCTGGACGGCTGCGGTCGGCGGGACTGCGGGACTGCGTTCTGCAGGCGGGCCACGCGAGCCAGGCTGGCCAGGCGGCGTCGCCGCGCCAAGCCGTCCACGTTTTTCTTCGCTCTGCCCTCGTCGCCACCAATGGACTGCCAGTGAGGGAGTGCGAGAGAGACAGACGACGTGACGTAACACGTGGATGAACCCCAAAGAAGTTGCTTGTTGCTTGGTCGATCAGCGGCCGCCTTCGCCATGCACAAGCCGCCCCTATTTCGAGTTCGCGTCCATATGCCGCGGCTTTTGCAATATGTAGAGCAACAACAACAACGGCGACGCCGTGGCGATCTACTTGTTGTTGTTGGCGGAGCCGTCGAAGTCAAGATGCCGCCGCGGCTGGCGAAACTTTTTGCTCGGCAAAACTTGATGTGGCCGTGTCTTTTCCAGCAGGCGCAGTTGACAGGTCGGAGACAGACGGACAGGCAGGCAGGCAGGCAGACAGACAGACAGACAGACAGACAGGCAGGCAGGCAGACAGACAGGCAGACAGGCAGACAGACAGACAGACAGACAGACAGACAGAGAGACATGTAAATTATCGGTCCCTGGTTCGATGCCAATGACAGGCATCTCATCCAATGCTTTTTAAATATTTTCTTTTTTGGTTGGAACGAGAGAAGTAAAGTCGGCCGCACTTCGTTCGCTGCCAGCGAGGACAGCGAGGAAAAAAGAGAGCGGAGGAAGAATTATCCGCAAACTCGCCCCGCTTCGAGTCAAGTACGCGCACTTCACTGCACTTGACTCGGCCGAGTCCCCGGGCTGGCCCGCCACCAGTGCAAGTTGGGATTGAATCCGGGGCCGGGTCGCTAGGGTCGTCGGGCCGACGGGTCACCGCGCGTCCCGGAGGGCCGCTTGCCTGCCGGGACTGCCGCCATGCCTCGCGCCATGCCTGGCCGGGGCCGAGGCCGGGGCCGTTTGATGGAATATGCTTTCCAACTCGCTGACGCGGCCACGCGGCCACACCGCCGCCACACCGCCGCCACGCCACCGCGCGCGGGGAACTTTGATGAACCGCGCGGACACCACTCCCCACCCACGTCCCCCGCGACCCTCTCGGCGATGACATCAAAACTTTGGGGCGGCTCGGCGGGGGCAGGACTGGGGGCAGGGCCGCCGGGAGCAGGGCCGGGGGCAGGGCCAGGGCACTGCTAATTGGATACGTCAGCGCATCAGAAGGAGCACTCACTGAAGACGAAGACGGACAGCGGCAGGTGGGGGCGCATGCACTCACACGCACGCACCTTCACACACACACACATACACACACACACACACACACACACACACACACACACTCGCACACACACACAATCGCACACACACACACACACACACACACTCGCACACACAGACAGAGACATGAAACATGGCACGCAACAAGTCTCATATGGTTTACAACCACAAGCCTCGTAGACATGAGTCCCTCCGCAGCACTATTGATACCAAGCCGCTTCGGAAAACGGTGAGAGCAGTGTTCCCCGGGTATTTGAACCCTCGGCCGCGCCGTCTCCTCGGCGGCGCGCGTGCGTGCCGCGTGGGTCGGGGCAGTCGGGGGTCGGGCCGCCATGCGGGCCGCGCTGGGCCGCGCTGGGCTGCCCGGGGTCAGGGCACTGGGGGAGCGAGGCGCCGGGGGTCGAACCCAGGACCCGGGTCGGGACAGGTCGCAGGAGCCGAGTTCTGTACTCACCATCTGGTGCGCTGTCAGTGCGGTGTATCCAAAGGGCCCAAAGGGTCGACGCGACGCTTCGCCTGGCCTCGTCTGCCTACCTCGCGGGCGCACTGCACACAGTGGAGTGGAGGGGCGCGGGCAGCAGCCTCTATATATAGCCGAGGGCCCCCCACCACCGTCGGCCGGGCCGCTGTTCCTGAATGGAAGGCCCCCGCCTGGCCCCGGCGTGGTGGGGGCGGGTCGATCCTACGCGCGAGGGCCCCGCCGGGGGCTGGGGGCTGGGGGCGGGGCGGGGGGCTCCCTTACCGTTGTGCCGCCTCTGTATATTTCATGCCGTGTCGCGGCAACAGAGGCATCGTTTTTATGCGCAGGACGCGGCAGGACGCGGTGATGGGCCACACCGGACTTTGTAGTGTGGTCACCGAGGCGCTCGCGGCAACAGGTCATACACTATACACTTGCCGAGGGCGAGCCAGAGCGCTGCACAGTGAGCCAGAAGACCGGAGGCTAAATAGGACTCGAACCGAACGTGTGACCCCCACCAACGGATTGCTCTCCGAACGAAGCATCCATTGGTGGGGCCACACGTTCGGTTCGAGTCCTGTTTAGCGACTCTGGAGCTCAAAACGCGTCCAAAATTTCGACCGCCTCCAACCGGTCTTCTGGCAAATCCACTGTGCGCTAGTGCGCGGCACGAGTGGTGCGAGGTTCCTCGTCAGCACCACTTCACAGTGCAGTTTCTAGATTTAGATTGGCAAAGGAATCGAAGTGAGGATAACTGAATGCCCCCCACCCCCAGCCCCACCAGGCGAAGCGAAGATCTGCTCGCGCCTTTGCAGCCTCCGTGTGCTGCGAGCGATTCCCAACAATCGCTCTGTCCCTCTCGCACCCGCACGGCGAGCCCCGTGAGCGCGAGAGAGACAGAGCTACAAAGTGAATCGTCGGAAGCAGTCTGCCGGGTCGGCGGAACCCGGCTCTCGCGCCGCCTGCAGCATCGTATGAAAATTGCATTGCTGGTACCGAGAACGCGCAGTCTCTCTCGCACTCATGAGGCGCCCCGTGGGGCCCCGTGGGGGTGCGAGAGAGACAGAGCGACGGAACGATCCTTCATAATCAGGCGACTGGATAGGTTGACTCGGTTTCCAAGAATGGTGGGTTTCCCCCCCCCCCTTTCCCCCTTCCACGAAACTTGCCACGCCTACGCCGTACGCGATGCCCCGGCACTGTTTCCTGCTTCCCCGTCACAACAATGGACACACAGCTAGGCGCAGCCGAGCGACCCAGAAGAGTCGTTTCGTCGCTCTGTCTCTGTCGCACTCATGGGGCTCGCCACAAGGGCCATAAGGGTGCGAGGGAGACAGAGCGACAAACCGCTCGGCAGCCAGAACCTTCCAAATTGATCCACACTAGCCACCCTCGTCGCCCCTTGCCCGCGGATGGACAGGTATGTGTCGGAGCGCCGTTTGACCTTTAACACATTCTCTTCTTCTCTCTCTTCTCTCTCCTCTCTCTCTCTCTCTCTCTCTCTCTCTCTCGCACACACACTCACTCACTCACTCGCACCTGAGAGAGCGGCGCCAACATATTTCGGTCCGTGTTCCAGAGCCCGCCTGTCTTGTTTGCAGAGAGGCTTCGCTCCCCTTCGCCCACGTCGGTTCAAAACTCCGCAAACGAGATTCCGGGCTTTCTCTCTCTCTCACTCCTTCTGCCGGTCTCTCTAATCTCTCTCTCTCTCTTTCTTTCTCTCTCTCCTCTCTCTCTCTCTCTCTCTCCCTCTCTCTCTCTCTCCCTCTCTCTCTCTCTCTCTCTCTCTCTCTCTCTCTCTCTCTCTCTCTACCGCCGGTCTCTCTCAGTCTCTCTGTCGCCGGCCCGCGATGCCACTATCCGCGACGGCGAACATTTTTCTTTTGATTGGAAGTTATTGCGTCCGTGAGAAAGAGAGACAGAGAGAGAGAAAGAGAGACAGAGACAGAAAGAGAGAGAGAGAGAGTGCAGGACGTGGCGCTAAAACAATGAAAGATTCTCATATAACAAAACAATATCGCCGGACTCGACAGCTCGGCAATAAAAGACGCTGCAGAATGGTTCTGTCGCCCTGTCTCTCTCGCACTCACGTGGCGATCCGAGGGGAGAGAGCGAGAGGGAGGGGGAACGAGAGAGAGAGAGAGAGAGAGAGAGGAGAGAGAGAGAGAGAGAGAGAGAGAGAGAGAGAGAGAGAGAGACTTTGTGTTCTGCGGAATTGATTCCGTGGTGGTTGTTTACCTAAATCTGCTCGTCATTGTTCCGAGGGTTTGCCTCGGGGACGAAAACAGCACAGGCCCTGTGTGATTTCCTGGTTGCCCCGTGTCGCAGTGTACTAGCAGGCAAATTCGCGAGGACCGCGGCCGAGACACGGCAACGGCCCGTCGCGGCGGCGCGGCGGCTCGCTGACTCGGCCGCGGGTGAACCTGCCAGTGCCAGGGCACGCCTCACCCGAAAGAAAGTATGGTAGTGAGGTCCTCGACGTCCACCGGTGCCCTGTCCGGACTTGGCCCGGCGTGTGCCCCCAGCGTGTGCCCCAGCGGTACCCCAGACGCGTCACCGCCATCCTCATGCCGCCGTGACGTAATAGCTCCTGGTGACGTCATTGCAGCATCCCGGCGTCGCTCGCGTCGCTTCGGGCCTTCGGTAGGCGCTCGGGTCCCGCCGAAGCCGCCCGAAGAGCGCTTGGGTGCTCGGCCCCACTCGGCCCGGCCCGAACAGAGGACGGCGGAGACAGGCGGAGAGCGCTGAGCGGGGCCGAACCGGCTTGGGGGGGGGGGGGGGGGGCAGGGGGTAGCAGAGGTGCAGCAAAGGACAGAGGGCATGGGGCGCGCGCTGTGCGAGTCGCTGTGGCAGTGAGGCTGGCGCGCACACACACACACACGCTCACTCGGAATCCATGAGAGCCCAGTTTGCAGAGAGATTCTGCCACCCTTGCGGGACAGCCGACTATACCGACTCCCCGAGCGCTTCAGGCCAGCTCGGCTTAAGCCCTCAGCAGGAATGACAAAAAAGGAGAGAGAGGGAGAGGAGAGAGAGAGAGAGAGAGAGAGAGAGAGAGAGAGAGAGAGAGAAAAGAGAGAGGAGAGAGAGAGAGGAGGGGGAGAGGAGGAGGGAGAGGGGGAGAGAGGGGAGGTGAGATCGTCTGGAAGCTGGAAACGTGCTGGACGCAGCATTCCTGAAGCGTTCCAGCATTCCAGAAGCGGGCCCTCCGCCACCTCCCATTTCATTTCCCTTCTTCGCTTTTCCCTGTTTTACTTTCTTTCTATTATTCCCTTTTGGCTCTTTCCGCTGCGCCGTTACGTAACGCGGACAGCCCTTGCTTCTTGCTCGTTCATAATCAGTCGTCCCTCCTCGGTGTCGCTGTTTCTTGTTGTTTCTTCGACACGGCCGGGGCCTCGGCCGGGGCGGCGTCTCCGGTCATCGCTTTTTACACGACCCCCCCCCCCTCTCTCCCTCTCCCCTTTCCTCAAGCCAGGCCACCGTAATTTAGCGTGTGCGCGTGCCACGCGCGTAGCATCGCCAATGCGAAGGGGTAGTTTTGTTCTACCCCGTCTCTCCGGCCCCTACTCCGACTGACAGACCTCCGTTAACCCTGTGCCGTGCCGAAAAAGGGAAACAAAGAATCCGAAATAGAGAGGTGGACGATCGTGCCCTTTGGCGTTGGGTGCATTTATAACCACCCTAGCGCCTCGTATTAACTTTTACTAAAAAAAACGTTAGTAGATAAATAAAACAAGAAGTAAAAAAAAACAGTCTACGTTGGATTTGAACCCGCAAGCTGTGGTTTCAGAAACCGGGACCTTCTTCACTATAGTGGCCCACTTCTAGAGCAGTACGACATGGTAAAAACCGGTAAAAACGGTACCCAGCGATTTCCAGGAACCGTTTTTAATGTTAAAAAAAGTGGGGCAAAAGCGTGACTAAAATTCTGCAAACAAGAGACACCAACAGGGCGGATTTGAACCAGTAACCTTGCGGTTTCGGTCAGCGACCCACTTCTCCGGGTGGCTGGGACTGCCACGCCACTGCCACGCCACTCCGGTCGAGTTTGCCGCCGCGCGCCGCCTCATTCTGGGCGGCTTATTGGAGCCGCACTGATTCCGAGAGTCGTTTCGTCGCTCTGTCTCTCTCGCACTCATGGGGCGACCCGTAAGGGTGCGAGAGAGACGGGGTGAGGTTCTCGGAATCAGTGTGCTGGCTCGGGCAGGCTCCAGCAGGCTCCAGCGCCGCCCCTGGAGAGGCAAGCCGAGCCGGCTCCAGGTTTAAGTAGGTCAGCTCGTAATTAGGGCTAAGTAGAACGAGGCGGCAAGCACGTGTCCTGCCAATCTGCCTGACACCAATCCGCCCGACGCGGCCCGACGTCAGCGAGGCTGAGCGCCGCACAGTGGGCCAGAAGGCCGTTGGAGGCGGCCAGAACTCCAGACGCGTTTTGAGCTCCAGAGTCGCTAAATGGGACCCGAACGTGTGACCCCACCAATAAATTGCTCTCCGAACGAGGAATCCATTGGTGGGGTCACACTTTCGGTTCGAGTCCTGTTTACGGCGACTCTGGAGCTCAAAACGCGTCTGATGTTTCAACCTCCTCCACCGGTCTTCTGGCCCACTGTGCGCAGGGTGGATCCACGTGAGCCTGAGCTCCGTGCTCATGCCGCAGAGTCGGTGAGCCTCGGTACGGTACAAAGCAGCAATTGTTATCCGCCTGTCTCTCTTTGTCTGTCGGCCTCTCTCTCGCGGCAGGGCGATGGCCGAAACACGTGCCGCCCGCGCACGCCGACGTCGGCCCCTACCTGCCACTGCCGGTGAGGCAAAACAAGAACAAAACACCGCCAACAAGAACAAAAGGCCCTCTCGCCTCGGCAGGGTGTTGAACCGCGGACCTCGCGACGCGCTCCTTTTATTCCCATCTTTCTGCCCAGACGCAACACCGCCACTGTCTGCAAGCAGACAGCCGGCTCAGTTCCGTTAATAAAATGTTTTTTATTAAGGGATTTAAGTTTATAACTTTGTCAATGTTGTGGGACTTGTGTTCATTTTGTTAAGTGAGACAGACGTACAGGCGTAGGGACGGATAGACAGACAAACAGAC